GAATCTGACATCAGTTTTCCAAAATTCAAAATGGCGGATCCAATATGGCGGACAACGAAATAAAAAATTGATCAGATTGGCTTGAAACTGAATACTTGGGGATTTTCAGAGTCGCTGATTACGAATCTGAAATCAGTTTTTCAAAATTCAAAATATCTGATTCAATATGGCGGAAAATTTTTTAAAATTTATTGAATTTGTTTGAAACTGGTTAATCTGACATCAGTATGATAATTTTTGGTGAAGTCAAATTTCGATAAATACCCTGAAAAAATAATGACAGATTCGTAATCAGCGACCCTAAAAACCCCCGAGTATTCAGTTTCAAGTCAATCTGATCAATTTTTTATTTTGTTGTCCGCCATATTGGATCCGCCATTTTGAATTTTGGAAAACGAATGTCATATTCGTAATCAGCGACCTCGAAAATCCCCGAGTAACCGGTTTCAGGAACATTTAAGAAGTTTTTAATCACCTTTTTTAAGTTGCGCATATATGCGTCATGAATCACTTTTGGCCAGTTTAGTTTTGCGCATATTATATGCGTCAGCGACAGTCAACGGGTTAAGAAATAGTAAAAAATAGTGATAATTGTTATAAATTATTAAAGAGGCATTTCACGTCAGAAATAAAGTAGTAAAAGTCTAAAAAGTCAATTTTTTATGTTTATAAAATTAAAATGGAAAACAATAAAATAAATTGTTTTTAAATTTATTTTTTTGTACATTTAGACAGATGTAAAGATGAAAAATTCTTTTTTTATATTTCATTAATAAATTGACGTTGGGAATGTTTTTTCAATTTACCAAATTCGTCATCCATTTTTTTTTTCTTTTTGACTAAAACTCAATAAATTTGTGAATTAATTAAAATTTTTCTAACTTTTGCTGATATCTAATTAAAAGTGAAAAGAAATTTTTAATTCTTAATGAAATATTATTAACAGCCATATTATAATAAGTAAAAATGTGTGATTATGATTTAATGAACTTTAAAAGAGGGTTCATGGAACATTATATAAAAAAAGGGAAAGATTAGAGCCTCGGTTAGGATTACTTATACTAAAGAGAAAAGTATTACATATTATACACTTATTTTTAGAAAAAAATTGAAACAAAGTATGACAAAAATTGCTCTTTTATCAAAGTTAGCTAATGATGTGTCATTTTGTATCATTGTAGTGTTCATGAATACTTAACTGTGGATAATAATGTAATGATGTCCATTTAAAAATTGGAACTTATTATCTTATTATTACTTTTGAGCATGCGCAGTGATCTTTTTTACTTCGATTTTTATTTTTCTGCGTTTGTTTCTGTTGAGACTTTGTATATTGTGTTTCTTTTTATTAAAATGTGTTCCTCAAGTTCGGAACGTTTGAATGAATGAAATTTTATTTTATTTCTTTTTGAAATTAAAAATTCTATTATAATCATTTTGCGACTCGTAAGAAAAAATATTAATTATAAAGTGTCTATATTTCCTAAATTTTAATTAGTAACAATGTTTGCTAATTTGAATTAGTGACTCAATTTTTGCTTTTGAATTAGTAAAAAGCAAACAGTTTTACTAATAAATAGTAATTTCTACTAAATTAGTAAAATTTACTAATTAAAAAGCAAAAGTTAGTCACTAATTCAAATTATTATTTATTTATTAGTAAATTTGAAGAACAAATAGTAGAATTTACTAATTCAGAAAAAGTCAGTCACTAATTCAAATTAGTAAACATTATTACTAATTCAAATTTAGAGAGTAAATGTTAAATTTTTGTTATGTGCAATAATTTATGAAAACACTTTTCAAGAAAAATATTTCCTTCATTTTAACGTTCAAAACTTGTGGGTTTACAATCAAATACAAAGAAAGTATACAAAAAAAAAAAAGAAATGTGAAAAAATTATTTTGAAGGTAAAAATAATTAATTGAAATTTAAAAAGGAAATAAAAATACAATTTTGAAAGTATTCCTACTTTACTAGTGATTCAACATAAAACAGTGAGAATTAAAAATTAATATTATTAATATTGCACATTTAAGAAAAAAAAATACTTTTTCGAAAGAAAAATTCTACTGCCATTGTTAAAATTTTTAATTCTGATTATAAATATATAAATTTTTAAAAAGTTTTTCCGAAAAAATATTTTTTAATGCATTTTATTTTAGTTATTATAATATCATGTCTAAATTATGAAATGATGAATATAAAGGTAAGAATAAGAAACGCAATAAAGTTTATTTAATGTTTGTATTTTTATTAACTGCATTAGACAAGTTTTCTTTATATCAAAACGAAAATTGTCACGAATGATATACTCAGTAGTAATTTGATAATTACTTGCAAAATTAATTGCATTCTTCATTTTTTCATTGTTATCAGAAACGATAAATATCCAATGGACGTTTTCATAATCTAGAATTTTTTAATAGTTATACAAATTGTAATTATATTTTTTGCAAATTTGAAAAAAAATATTTAAAAACTCACGTTACCAAACATCATAAAGTTAAGAATACAAAATTTTCCCGCTGTTATTGATACTGGTTTATGGCCCCTCTGCATTAGCAGAAGAATACATTTTGCTTTTTTCGACGGTAAATTAAACCAGTCTGATTCGTAAACCGTGTCGGCAAATGCATAACTCTGGATAAATTTATTTGAAATTTTATTTTAAATAAATATTTTTACAATAATAAATTTTAGAATGATAAATTTTTTTTTATTATAAATTTTAAAATAAAAAATTTTTTTTATTTTAATAAATTTTATAATAATAAATTTAAATTCAAATAAATATTTTGCTCTTTTAAAATTTTTCTTTTCTTTTCTTTTAATTCTTAATTCTTACTTCAATTTGCAGCATTTCTGCACAATAACAGTAGATATAAAAGGTTGTTGTTTGGTATAGAAAAAAGACAACTATGAACATGATGGCTAGCAGCATTGAACTTGAATTACCTTCTGTTATAATCTGTGAAAAAAGAATTATTATTTTTAATTGTATGAAGGAAAATGTGTTTTCTTGAAAAAAATTTGAAAAAGGAAAAAATTTACTTACCAAAACAAAAAAGTAGGCTTGTAAACAAAATTGAATCGAACACCCTAATAGTTGCACGAGAAACATTAAATTGAAACAACTTTCCAGTACTTTAATACAGCTATTAAAGGAATTTAATAGAATTTTTATTTGATCGCATTGTGTTTGCTGTAGCAATTAGTAAAAATAACTAATTTTTTAGTAGAAAATGATTTATTATTAGTAAATAAACAAACTACGAAAAAAGTAAGATTTCATTAATTGTATTAGTTATCAAAAATTAATTCACCTAAAAGTGAATTTAACTAATAATTACTAATTAAATATTATCAACTATTTAAAATATTACTATTTTCATCAGTTGCTGATTTTTTTTACTATAAAATTAATTATTTTTTAATTCGAATATAGAGAATAAAACAAAATTTTATCAAGAACAATGACCTGTTAATATTATAATGAACATAAATAATATGTTTAAATTTTTCATTAAATTCAGACTTATCGTTCTTGATATTCTTTATAAGATCAGTGAATCTTAAGCGTAAAATTTGATATTGCCCGACAAAGTGAAATGTTATTTGACTGAAGAAACTGTCAGTTCCACTGTTTGCAAATGCAGCACTAATTACTCCTGCGTATTGTAAAAAACATGTTATCTCAAAAATTGGAGTGTAATTCCATTTGAATGGATAATAGGCTTCAACATAGAGGGTGAAATTTTTATTATTACTATTATCATTCCAATTACTTAAATTTTCAAGAATCCATTGTAATAAGCGACAGTGTACCGTTAAATATGGCAAAATTGTGCATATCAATGAGAATTTATTTCCCTTATTGCCACTTTCAATCATTATATTTAATTCATCATTGTTTTTCTTTTTCTTCCAATGATCAATCATGTGACGATAGAGAATTGTCGTTTCTGGAAAGAAAAAATTATTTATAGAAATGAAAAAAAAAATTATTTTTGGTGTTTTTTTTTTTAGAAATTTTTTATGAATATTATTCTATTTTCTTTAAAAACTATACCTTATGTTTGACTAAAGCTGTTTCTTACTACTGATGGTACATTGAATTGAATTATAATAAAATATACTCCATGTCTGACTACATGTGATTTTTACTACTGATGGTGAATTAAAATAAATTTGCTTCATGTCTGACTAAATATGTCTTTCACTACTAGTACCTAAGAAACTTAAATAAATTTGCTTCATGTCTGACTAAACATGGTTTTTACTACTAATATCAAATTAAAATTAGCTTCATGTCTGACTAAACGTAGGTTTTACTACTTGAAGTAAATAAAATCAGCTTAAAAAAAGAATAAATAGTAAAAAATAAAAAAGAAGTATTCAAAATTAACTCTACGTCTGACTAAATTTGATTTTTAGTACTGACATTAAATTAAAATAAATTAGCTTCATGTCTGACTAAACATGGTATTTACTACTAGTAACAAACTAAAGTAAAATAGTTTCATGTCTGATTAAATATGGTTTGTACTACTAGTAAGAAATAAAAATTAGCTTTGTTGGAAATTAGTTTTAGAAACAAGGATAAATTTTAATGTAATATATTTTATTTTTGAAAATGCGTGATAGAAAAGGTGGTGCCCTCTATTTTGGGTTACTCGCGGGAAAAACTTTGGGAGAAAATTGCGGGAAAGAGGTGAAATCGCTGTAAAGTCAAGAAAGGGGAGTCAGTGATTGATAAGCCCTTGACAACGACACAAGTGTGTCGGTAATTAAATGTGATAAAGTATAATAAAGTGTATTATAGACTCCACTCAAATTTTATGTGCTTTGTTATTTTTTCGTCCTTTGTTTTACCGCAGTATTTTATTGGATTTTAACATTTCTGGCGACCGTGACAGGACTGCGGTGAAGGAAAATTGTGTTTGAGTGGATTTTTGGTGATCAAGTTTGCACGAGGCAGACGCTTCAAATATTCAAGATGGACGCTTGCAAGAAATATCGGTCTATTAAACGACGGTTATTTACCAGAACATTGACCAGTTTCAATGACATTTGTAAGAAGCCAAATTCGACTGATCAAGAGAAAAAGATCGCCATGCATCTACTGGAAGCGCGGATGACGGAATTGGAAGAAGTGAGCTCAAAGTATATTACAATGCTGTTCGAAACAGATAGTTCCGAAGAAGAGATCGAACATGAAATTGAATCGAACGATGATTATCAACTTCAATTTCTTAAAGTGAAGTTCGCTTATAAAGAGTTAACATTGGAACATTCTAGTATTACTACCGAACAAGTAGGCGAGCGTAACTTGACCGTTCCGCGTGTACAGAAACCATTTAAGAAACCGATTCTAGAAATACGAAAATTTAGTGGCAACGTGGGAGATTGGCTCCAGTTCTGGTCTCATTTTCGTAAGGTTCACGAAGATGATTCAATCTCTAAAGAAGACAAGTTGGAGTATTTAAAACAATCTGTGGAGAAAGAGTCAAAAGCGGATAATGTCGTCTCCGGATATCCCACTAGTGCAGAAAACTACTCGAAAGCATTCGAGAGTCTCAAAAATCGTTTCGGTCGTGACGATCTATTGGTGGAGTTTTATACTCGTGAGTTATTAAATTTGGTTCTACAAAATGCGTCGTCTCATAAAGTGAAAGTGTCCGTGGCAAAGATCTATGATAAGATATCAGCACACATACGTGCTCTAGAGTCATTGGGTGTAACCACAGACAAGTGCGCGACAATGTTGTACCCCTTGGTTGAGTCGTCCCTTCCCGAGGAGATTTTGAGGACTTGGCAACGTTCAATTTCACTAAGTGCCAATACGCAGACTCAAGATTCACAAACTAATAATCGTTTGTCGAAATTACTCGAGTTCTTACGAAGCGAAGTGGAAAACGAGGAGAGAATTCATATGGCTGTCAATGGTTTTGGAGTTTTTGGAGAGGGGGTTAAGAAGGAGAAAACCAAGGCAACTAAGGAGTCAGCATGGTCATCGAGGGAGCACCCCACCGCCAGTGTTCTTCTCACTAGTGATAAGCCGAAAAAGTGTGTGTGTATCTTTTGTAACGGTGAGCATGATAGTGCAGTGTGTGAGAAGGCGAAAAGGATGTCTTATGAAGATCGTAGGAATATAATTGGTAAGAATAAATGTTGTTTCAAATGTATTAAGCGCGGACATTGCGCGAAAGATTGTCGAGTTAGAATCATATGCTCAGAGTGTAATGGTCGTCACTCTGTTCTTTTATGTCCATCTATGAGTAATAGTAATAGTGTTGCAAAAATGGATCAAGGAAAAACGACTTCTGGTAGTATTCAAATTAAAGAACAAAATTTAGCTAGTTTTTGTAATTTGCCTGAAGTTTACTTGCAGACACTACGGGTAATTTTATTTTCAGATTCGAGTGAAATGAGCGTTCGTGCAGTCGTTGATACAGGATCGCAAAGATCTTACATTACATCTCGGGTCGCTGAGTCTTTGGGATACAAATCAGTAGGTAGTAAAGAGATAGTTCATTCTTTGTTCGGCGGGGAAAGAACGAAAAGCGAAGTACATAATATTTATTTGGCTAGAGTAAAGAATTGTACGGGGACTTACGCGTGTAACTTTCAGGTAATGAACCAAGATGTTATTTGCAATAATATTCCTTGTGTAAAACAAGCTAATTGGATGTTTGAATTAGAGAAAAGGAATATTCAACTTTGCGATTATAATCCCAATTCACAAAAAGGTGAAGACTCGATAGACATGCTCATAGGCGCGGACGTTATAGGGAAACTAATGACGGGAAATAAATTTGATTGTTCGAACGGTTTAACTGCTTTTGAGACAAATTTAGGTTGGACAATAATGGGAAGAGTACCTGATAATAATAATAGAGAAGATTTTACAATGACAGCTCTTTCCATGTTTGTACAAGAAGCAAAAGTATCGGATCTCTGGAGTTTAGATACTATAGGAATAAAAGACCCCATTGAAAAGTTAAACCGGATAGAAAAGGATAAGCAAGTTAAGGAGAATTTTTTAAATACCGTCAAGCTAAAAGAAAATGATCGTTATGTTGTGTGTTTACCCTGGATTGATGACCATGCGTCAGTGGCTTCGAATTTTAACATTGCAAAAATAAGATTAGAAAATTTAAAAAAGAAGTTAATATCTGAAGATCTTTTTGAAAAATATAGTAATGTAATTTACGAGTGGTTAGATGAAGGTATTGTGGAATTAGTCCCGGAAAATGAAATAGAAAAAGAAGCGCATTATTTACCTCATCGCCACGTAGTAAAACTAGAGAGTAATACGGTTATACGCCCTGTTTTCGACGCATCTTCGAGTGAAAAGGGATATCCCGCTTTAAATCAATGCCTTGAAAAAGGACCCAATTTAATAGAATTAATTCCTACCTCTTTACTTCGTCTTAGAAAAAATGAAATAGCAGTTGTTGCGGATATTCGTAAAGCTTTTTTACAGATAGAAGTTAACGAAGAAGACCGTGATTTTTTACGATTTTTATGGTTTAAAGACGGAGAAATGCGTATTTTTCGTCATCGGAGAGTAGTTTTCGGTCTAACTTGCAGCCCTTTTTTATTAGGAGCAGTACTAGAATTACACTTGTGCAATATGTTAAGAGCCGTAAGAGAAAAGTTTTTCGAGAACGATTGGTCGGAAGAAACGATTTTAAAATTAAATGACGCCTTTTACGTTGACAATTGCACAACAAGTGTAAATTCTATTGAAGAATTAAAAGTTTTTATAAAAGATTCTAAAGAAATTCTAAGTAAGGGAGGTTTTGACTTAAGAAATTGGGAGTATACGAACGACAATGCGAAAAAAGATTCTACTCTGGTCTTGGGTATTCTATATAACAAAAAACGCGATACGATATTAATAAATCCGACTGTCCTAAATATTGATCTAGAAAAAGTCGTAACAAAAAGGACAATTCTTTCCGCGGCGAACAAAGTATTTGACCCCATGGGTTTTGTTTCTCCTGTTACTTTGATCCCAAAGTTAATATTAAAAAGATTATGGAGATTAAAAAATGAGTGGGATGTACCCGTGGATGAGGAGACTCGAGATGAATTTATTAAATGGTCAAATTTGTTATATTATTTGAATCGTATAGAAATTCCAAGAAAGTTTGGTAACGGAAATTGGTCGATACATATGTTCTGTGATGCGAGTAAACTGGCATATGCGGTGGTTGTTTTTTTACGGATCGAACGAACAGAAGGTGTTGAACTTAGATTCGTAAGTTCAAAAACAAGAGTAGCGCCGGAAAAAACCACAATACCGCGATTAGAACTTTTGGCTGCTACTATCGGAAGTCGTTTAACGAATGAAGTAGTTAGGGCATTGAATTGTGAGAATGTTCCCATAATATATTGGTCAGATGCTACGACTGTATTGGCTTGGATTAAACGAGATATGCAGTGGAACACTTTTGTAAACAATCGAGTGCGTGAAATTCGTGAGTTAACTAAATTAGGAACATGGAGACATGTGCCGGGAGAAAAGAACCCCGCAGACCTTCCATCACGTGGTTGCGATGCAAAACAACTTTTTGATTCTCGGTGGTGGGAGGGGCCTGCGTGGCTTCGCGATAACGAAAAAAATTGGCCACAAGATAAATTTACAATAGATGAAAGCGAAGTAAAAACGGAATTAAAAAAGACGGCACAGGTCTCAATGGTCACTTTAAACGAAAAAGAAAATATAGATATAGTGGGAAAATTCTCGTCATATAATAAACTAATAAGATTTTTTGCGATAATGTTGCGATTTAAGAATTTTAAACTTGGGATTGGAAGCGAAAAGGGTACGCGAATCACATACAAAGAATTGTGTGAAGTAGAATCGAAATTTTTAAAGACGTTACAATCACAAATGTTTTTACCAAAAAATGATCAAAGATTGGCAACATTACAGACTTTTCTTTGTAATGATGGTTTAATACGATTAAAAACGAAAATTATTGAAAGAGAAGACAATTTCCCCTTTTTGTTTCCAATTTTATTAGATGGTAAACACGAGGCAGTAAAGCTTATAATTAGAGAAACTCATGAAAGTATGTGTCACGCAGGAGTACAGAGTGTTATGTGTCAGCTGAGAGAACGGTTTTGGATTTTGTCAATGAGAAGAACAGTGAAAGCTGTGATTTCGAAGTGTATTACATGTAAAAGATTTAACGCAAAAAATGTTGAAACGATACCGGCTTCCTTGCCGATTCATCGAGTGAGAGATGCCAATGTATTCGAGATTACAGGAGTAGATTTCGCGGGTCCTGTGTATTTGCGTGGTAATCAGAAAGGATGGATTTGTTTATTTACATGCGCCGTATATCGTGCAATTCATTTGGAACTGGTTACTTCACTGTCAACTCAAGCATTTTTATGTTGTTTTCGTCGTTTTATTAGTCGTCGAGGAAGGCCAACTATTATGTACAGTGACAACGGGCTGAATTTCGTCGGTGCGAATAACATCTTGAAAACAATAAATTGGGATTATATTAATAAATATTCTTCTGCGAAACAAATTCAGTGGCGATTTAACCCACCATCGGCCCCTTGGTGGGGAGGATGGTGGGAGCGGTTGATTGGCATGCTCAAGAATTTGTTGCGTAGAGTGTTAGGAAAATCCTGTCTTACCTTTGAGGAATTATTAACGGTATTGTGTGACTGTGAATCAGTGTTAAATGCGCGACCTTTAACTTATATGTCAGAATCAGCTGATGATTTAAAAGTATTAACGCCAGCAATGTTCCTTCACGAAATAAAAGAAACATGTACACCGGATATCGACATAGCAAGTCAAGTAGATTTGACGAGTAAATATAAGCGAAAACAGGAAATTGTAGAACATTTGAGAAAACGTTTTCGAAATGAATATTTGGGACAATTAACGGCGAGAAGTAAATCAAAGAAATGTAGTACTGTGCAAATAGGAGATATTGTAATTATTGGCGATGACAATCATAAGCGTATAGACTGGCCGTTGGGAAAGATTGAAAAAATGTTTGTTGGTAGAGATGGAAACGTAAGAGTTGTGATGTTGAAAACAAAAGAGGGAAGATTAAAGAGACCGGTTCAACGAATCTATCCCCTTGAAATTTCTCAAAGTGAGTTCAATAATATTAAAAATGTACCGCGAGATTTTCAAAATAATGTGATTAGTGACAATTGTATTCATGAAAATAAACAAAAGTCAAAGAATAGTTCGATAGATAGAGGGATAAAAATAATTACAACGAAAAGTGGACGCCTTGTTAAAAAGCCTGAATATTTTCAATGTCAGTGAATTTATTTATGTGTGTTTTTTGGATGTGAGTAATCTTTTTTATAGTGAGACAGAGTCTCAAGGTGGGAGGATGTTGGAAATTAGTTTTAGAAACAAGGATAAATTTTAATGTAATATATTTTATTTTTGAAAATGCGTGATAGAAAAGGTGGTGCCCTCTATTTTGGGTTACTCGCGGGAAAAACTTTGGGAGAAAATTGCGGGAAAGAGGTGAAATCGCTGTAAAGTCAAGAAAGGGGAGTCAGTGATTGATAAGCCCTTGACAACGACACAAGTGTGTCGGTAATTAAATGTGATAAAGTATAATAAAGTGTATTATAGACTCCACTCAAATTTTATGTGTTTTGTTATTTTTTCGTCCTTTGTTTTACCGCAGTATTTTATTGGATTTTAACAAGCTTCATGCCTGACTAAATCCGGTTTTCACTACTGAAATTAAACTAAAGTAAATAGCTTCATGTTTGACTAAATCCGATTTTTACTACTGACAGTAAATTGAAATAAATTAGCTGACAAAACATGGCTTTTACTACTAGATATAATAAATTAAAATAATTTGAAAACGAAAATTTTTTGTCTGACAAAACATGGTTTTTACTACTGGTTACAAATTAAATGAAATTTACACATTAAATGCCAATAAATTATATTAAATTAACCTAACATGTCTGACTGAATCTGACTTTTACTACTAGTATTAAATTAAAATTTCCTGTAATTTATGTCTTAATGTCTGACTAAACCTGGTCTTTACCACTTGTAATTTTAAAAAATTGAATCAAATTACAGTAAAATTAATTTCAAGTCTGACTAAACTTTGTTTTTTCTACTGATTATTATTACTCTTACTAATTTAAATTAAAATACTGTAAAATGAAATTTATGTCTGACTAAACTTTATTTTCTCTACTGACACTAAATTAAATTAAAATGCAATAAAATTAAATAATAAAAATTTAAATTTAAACTAATTATTTAATGAACCACATGTCTGACTAAATCTAACTCTTACTACTAGTATTAAATTAAAATTATCTGTTTGTGCCTTTATGTCTGACTAAATCTGGTCTTTACTACTTGTAGTTTAAAAAAATTGAATCAAATTACAGTAAAATTAACTTCAAGTCTGACTAAACTTTGGTTTTTCTACTGACAGTAAATTAACTTAAATTGCATTAAAATTTAAATAATAAAAACTTTTACTAATAAAATTAAAATTATCTGAAATTTATGTCTTTATGTCTGACTACATCTGGTCTTTACTACTTGAAGTTTATAAAATTGAATCAAATTACAGTCAAATTAACTTATAGTCTGTCGAAACTTTGGTTTTTCTACTGATTATTATTACTTTAAATTAAAATACCGTAAAATAAAATTATGTCTGACTAAACTTGATTTTTTCTACTGACTTTTACTACTGGCAATACATCAAAATCAGTGGAAATTAATAACTTCATGTCTGGCTGAATCTTGTTTTTTACTACTGACAATAAATTAAATAAAATTCAAGATTTAAAGAATAAGTTAAACTAAATTTACCTTAAGTCTGACTAAACCTGTTTTTTTCAATTTTTAGTTTTTGTCGAATTTTTACTTTTGTTAATTTTTTTTTTCAAAATATATAAAAAAAAATACGTACTTTTTTTATTGTAATAAAGAACAATCATTTTTGTTGCTGCCATTAAAATTGTTAATTCCGCAGTGCAAAGAACACTTATCAGCACTTCAAAATTGTTCCACACTCGAAGAACTTTCAATGTTTGAGGAAGAAATACTCCAAAGAATAAAATTATCAGACAAGTGTAAAATAAACCTCGGGATAATTTTTTATTTTTTTGACTAGGCCATGCGCCAAATGCTTTGATATTAATGCGAGCATACTTTGACAAAATTTCGAAGGCTTTTAAAAAAAAATAATTTCCTTAATATAAATTTTCTAATAATATATTATTCTAATATATTTTTTCCGCTTTTAAATCTTTGCACTATTTTTTGTGAATATAAATTTCAGAAATATTATTTGAATTAAATTGTAATTTCAACAATACTTGTATACATACCAATTTCTCCGTCCATTTTGACTATAATATAGGAAACGATCGTTAAATTTTGAAATATATTTTTTTTCTAGTTGAAAAGAAATTTTGTATTCATTTACAAAAGTTTTATGCATTTACAAAGTAAATGTGGAATATGTATAGAAAATAAAATAATTGTTTACCGATAATCAAAAGAAATGATAATTTAGTTAAATTTGAGTTCGGAGTTTACGTGCGTACAATCTAAGGAGAGCTTTTATCTATTTTGAAATTTTACAAAGTAGTTATGTAACGAGGAATCATTAAGGTTGTTAAAGGGTTGTCTGGAGTAGAGAGATAATAATTTGACTAATATAATATTTACCTCTAAATTGCAAAATTAGATCTTGTTATTAAGTTTAATGCGAGCATGCGCAGTGGGATTATTTCTTGGAAATTCATTTTATTTTCTTTCTTCCTTCAGAGAGTTCTCATGTGACGATAGAAAATACATTGTATTGAAAAAGAAACGCCGAACTACGAAAAAAAAATACTTTCATATTTTATCATAGTAGTTCGTTTCCTTTGCTCACGGTAAGATGATTTAAAATCAAATTTTATTCTTTCGAAATTCGCTTTTATTTATTTATTTATTTAAAATACAAAAATATTTTTTGTACTAAATTAACGTTGGTGAAGTTTACAACGTTTATAACCAACTACTAGCTAACAATAATTTTTAATTTAATTTTTAATGTTAATCTTTTAATGAAAAGAATACAATCTATCTAAAGATAACAAAAAACAAAAGTATAAGCAAAAGACAACTTCAGAGTGTGAAGGACATAAAATGTGAACGAATTAAAGAACATTCAAATTATTATACTAGTTAATTAATTTAATAGAATATTAATTTTCCTAATTTCAAATTTTTTTGTAAAAAATTTTTGTTTATTTTGTAAAAATAATTCTTCTCATCAACAATTCAAAAAATAAAAATTTGTAAACAAAAAATATTGTTTTCTGGGTAAAAATATTTTTTTCCTTCAATTGTTTGATCGTAAACGATTGTGAAACTTTTTTCACAAATATAATGTTATAATTAATAATTGTTACTATTAATTATTATATTAATTAATAATAATAATTATATTTCATTTATTATTAATAATTAATATATTTTAGTTAACATTTATTTTGTAAGTCCTTAATGTTTTTGTTATTTTTATTTATTTTTATTTAACTTACATTTTTAATTTTTTATAATTGTATTAATAATTATTAAAGCCATTAATTAATGAATATTTTTTTTTGCTGTTATTTAAACAAGCCAGTGAATTTTACAAAAATTATGATCAACGATTCAAAGAATAAAATATATTTTTCACGAGGAAAACAATAAAAATTTGTTTAAAAATTTTCCTTTTGCAAAATATTGTTCAGAAAAGATTGTAAAACATTTTAAAAGAAAAATTTATAAAAATTTGTGCAAAAAAAATAATTTTTTAATATTTAAATACGTAATTGTGTAATAATTTTACATCAAAAGAGAATTGACGTTAATAATTAATTAAACTTACAGGAGATTTAGTATAGTTTAATATTAATAAAAAATCTATTCTTACTTCTATAAAAGAAAATTCTCTTAATTATGCACTGAATTCAGTTTAATTATTTAAAGTTTAAAGTATTTATAACTATTTATAATTATTTATATATTTATTAGACCATTTACATAATTATTTAACTATTTTCAATGGTAATTAAATTGTAAGATTAGGAAATAAATGAACTCATAGAATAATAAATATTATATATTATGCGTGTAGTTTTAAATGACATTAACAATTGCTAATGGAACATACATATATACATGTTTAAAGCTTAACATTTATTCAAAACATTTTGTTTCTTTTGCATAATTCATTCCATTATTTATTGCTTTCTTTCATTGTTATTAAAAATGATAGGTAACCCATAGATGTTTTTATAATCTAAAAAAAAATAAAATTTCAATATTTAAATATTAGTGAAATTTATAATAAATTTTATTATTGAAACATACGAATTGATAGTTATAAAAGTAATATTTATTCTTGATAAAAATTATTATTTATTTTTTATAAATTAAAAATAGAAAAAAAGTAATAATATATTAAACTTACGCTTCCAAATAGCATAAAGTTAAGAACGAAAAATTTACCAGCTGTTATTGGAATTGGTTTATAACCACTTTGCATCAAAAGAAGAAGACATTTTGATTTATGCGGTGGTAAATTGTACCATTTCGATTCATATGCTGTTTGAGCAAAATAAAAACTCTGGGAACATATGTTTATTAATTATTTTTTATTGAAAAAGTAAACTAAAATCTCGTTGTTTCATTATTTATTCTATTAGTTTCAAATTTTTTAATTTTTAAGTATTTAAAATTTTTAACGAATTCAAAATTTTGTATAAACTTTAAACTTTGGAAAATTCATTTTTTAATTTTTTCTAAACAAGTTTTTTAATTTAATAATTATTTTTGTACTGGGATTTTTTTTTAATTGCGTCCTATTACTTTTTTTAAACTGTATTTTGTAGATTTAGTATAAATTATTCTCACTTCCATTTGCAGCATTTCTGCCAGATGACAAAATATGTAAAAAGTTGTTGTTTGGTATATAAAATAAATCACTATAAACAAAAGAGCTGGTAACACTGATGATTTTGAATTATCGTCTGTTAAAATCTAAAAAAAAATCAAGTTTGAAGAAAAATAAAAAAACACATTTTATTATAAAATAAGTTATTTTAAAATTTTAAAAAAATATTCTAATGCAAAAGAAAAATCTTTTTCACAAAAATAAAGGAGTATTTTTTCTATTTTCTAAATTTAGAATTTAAAATTTGTGGATAATTTATTTTAAATTAGTCAAATATTTGTAAAAAAAAAAAAAATAAAAATTTACTTACCATAACAAATAAATAGGCTTGAACAAGCTAGTAGTTGAATCAAAAAGGTCAAATAAAAGCAGCTTTCTAATATTTCAATGCAACTGTTTAGAAAAGAAATAATATTCTTGTTTTTTCAATAAAAAATTAGTTTCTTAAAGGAAGGGAAATAATAACAAAAAAAATGATTAAAACAAAAAATTTCAAAGTTCTTCTAAGGATTTCAAATGGAGAAAGAATCAAAATTTTTGCTTTTCTATTAGTAAATTTTACTAAGAATTAGTAATTTCTACTAAAGTATTAGTAAAATTTACTTATATTACTTAACGAATAGTAAATTTTACTATTCGTAAAATTTACTTAAATTACTTAACGAATAGTAAATTTTACTATTCGTAAAATTTACTTAAATTACTTAATAAATAATAATTTCTTCGAATTTATTAGTGAAATTTACTTAAATTTATAAATAGTAATTTCTACAAATTTATTAGTAAAATTTAATGTTCCTAAGCTCTGAACGTTCAATTGAATCGAATTTTATTTATTTCTTCTTTAAATTAAATTTTATTACAACATTTTTGTATGACAGAAAAAAAATGAATTATAAAGTTTCTAAGTGTAAAATATGAGTTTTTAATTTTTGTTACAATCAGTAATTTATAAAAATATTTTTCATAAAAATATTTCGTTCATTTGAAAGTCCAAAATTTGTGGAATTGTAAATATTATAATATTTATTAGTAACATAAAATAGTAAATATTTAATAGAATAGAATATTTAATAAGAATAACAAAAGTATATACTTAACAAACAATTACCTATTAATATGGTGATGAATATAAACTATATTTTTAAATTCCTTATTAAATTCAAACTCAGGCATATTATTTTCAATATTTTTTATGAGTTCCGCAAGTTTTAGCCGTAGAATTTGATATTGTCCAATAAAATGAAAAATGATTTGACTGAAAAAACTGTCGGCCCCACTATTTGCAAATGTTGCACAAACCACTCCAAGATATTGTAAAAAACATGTGATCTCAAAAATTGGAGTATAACTCCAACTAAATGGATAATGAGCTTCAACGTAAAGTGTAAAATTATTTCCAATTGGATTATTCCAATTGCTTATATTTTCCAAAACCCATTGTAATAAGCGACAGTGAACAGTTGAGTACGGCAAAATAATGCATATTAGGGAAAATTTTTTTCCATGATAACCATTCTTCTGCATTATTTTCAATTCTTCCTTATTTTTCTTCTTCGTCCAATGGCCGATCATAATGTCAAAGAGAATTGTCATTTCTAAAAATGCGAGGAGAGAATTTTATTTAAATAATGTGTAAAATAATTTTTGTCTTAAAATTTTAATTTTTTTTTTGTTCTGTTTTGAACGTTTAAACGAACGAATATTCCTTTTCTATTTAAATATTTATAAAAAATTACAAAAATAAAAGTTATAGAAACGTCGGTAAAGTTCGCAACGTTTATGATCAACGAATTGAAAGAAAAACAATTATCAATTTTAAAAATAATAGAATTTCAAAATTTTTAATTCAAATTTTTGTTGAAAACACTAAAAAAATCAATTTTTGAGAAATTACAAATAATTGCAAAAGTTCAATTATTTTCTAAAGTAATACAATTCTTCTCATAAAATTCAATTATGTTCAAAAGTAAAAAAAAAATTCTCGTCAAAATCCTAATTATCTTTGTAAATAACAAATTTTTTCGCCAAAGTTCAATTATTTTCAAAAATGACAATAAAATTCTTGCCCTAACTTCAATTATTTTCAATATCTACTATTTTAATAAAAATTGCCGAAAAGAATTAAATTATTTAAAAAAAATTCATATTGTACACAAACATTTAATTATTTCCAAAAATAATAAAAATTCCATAGGAATTCAATTATTTACAATTTTTTTTATAAATTTCTTCGCAATAATTCAAAATTATTTTCATAAATTTTTAATTATTATAAATTATTATAAAACATGAAGAAATCGATCACTCCGAGTCTTCGACTCGGAGCAATCGATGTCTTCATGTTTTATAACAATACTTTTATAAGTTGTTTAATTTCCAAAAAAAGTTTAAATTTAAAATTTTTGAATGTCTTAATTCCTGTGGAAAAATAATAATAATAATTAAATATTTATTTAAAAAAGAAGTTATTGATGTTTTCGAATAATTTTACAATTAAAGAAATTCGTAAAAATGTAACAGATCATTTTTTTTGAGTAAAATTGTTTTTTTTTATTTTCTAAAAATTTAAAAAGTTTCAAGTTTATTTTCAATTAAAATTTGTATTTGAGAAATAGAATTTTTTTCCTTTATTTTCAAAAAACTTCGAATTTTATTAAAACAATTTATTGTAATTAAGAAATAGAAAATTTTTGTAAATCATTTCCTTATGAAATTAGAAAATTTTCTACAAAAATATTAAGAAACTAAGAAAATATTAAAATATTAAGAAATATGTAAGGTTTTTTTTCCAAAATAAAATATTGAATTTGTGAACAGTATTATGATTGAGAAATAAAAATTATGCATAAAATGGGTAATAAAAGTTTATAGAAAGAAATTAATTTTCCAAATTAACGGAAAATTAATTTTTTTTTAAACAAAATTCAAAGTTTTGATGAAATATAAAGAAAAATCGTCGTTTATTTGAACGTTAAAATCTTTAGAGACATAAAATGATAATTTAAATTTAATAATTTAAATAAGAAAATAAAAAAATCAAGTTTTGTAGAAAGAAAATATTGAGAAAGTTCTATATAAAAATTAAATATTTATTTATTTAGAATATTTTCCACTAAAGCGATATTTTTTTTTATTGTATAGATTAATAATAAATATTTTCGTAACTTCTCCAAATAATTTATAAAAATACATACTTTTTTTCTTGAAATAAAGTACAATCATTTTTGTTATTGCGATGACAATGGTGAGTTCTGCAGTGCAAAGAACATTGCTGAGAAGTTCAAAATTTCTCCACACATGAAGCACTTGAAATGTTTGAGGTAGAAAACAGCCAACGAGTAAAGTCGATAGACAAAGAAAAAATAAAATTTTCGATAAATTTTTATTTTTTTGAAGTGGCCATGCCCCGAAGGCTGAAAGATTTATTCGCGTGTATATTGAAAGAAGGTCCATGGCTTTGAAAAGATAATAGAATAATCATTAAAAAAAGGAAAGAAAACAAAAAAAAAACTGATAGAAAAAAATGTTCCTAAAATTTTGAACGTTCAAAAGAACAACGATATTTTTTTACTTATTTTAATTTATCTATTTTATACCTTTTTTTTATAAAAGAAAATGTTTGCATATTAAAAAAATTAGTTCTTGAATAAGTAAATGTTTTTTTTTTTTTACTTTTCTCTTCAGTATTGGAATTTTAATTCAATTTAATAATATTTATAAACAAAAAAAAATTCGTTCATTAGAACGTTCAAAATTGGAGAAAAAAAGAAAAAATGCAAAAGAAAGAAAAGACAAAAAAATTAAAAATATTAGTGAAAAAAAGCGTAGGGTACAATTATTTATTAAAAATTTTTAAAGGTGCTTGAAAATTTTGTTTTTAAATAAACATAGAAATAAATAATAATAACATAAGAATTTCCAAAGAATTTTTTTTTTTCAAAAATGTAATTTATTTTGCGCCCAAGCAATGTACCAGCTTCACCGTCCATATTGTGATCAACAAATAATCCTTGAAAAATCTCAAATTTACATTCTCGATCTTGAAATAATATTGTATAGAAATAAATTCCTGTCGAACGTCAATAAATTTTTTTGAAATTCATAATAAGGATAAGAATAAGAAAAAACGGTTTATAAATTGTCATTGATATGAAAAAAAGAAAATGTTTATTATTAATTTAGTTGAGATTTAAAGATTTAAGTTTTATCTGATAATATACACGTAATAGACAATGTAGTTATATCTATTTTCAAAAGAATGAAATTTCAATAAAGTTTTTTTTTTTTTTAATGACGAATCAGTTGTTAAAAGTTGTTGAACAGAGATCATTTAACGAATGTAATATTCATGGCTAAATTACAAAATTGTTTCTCGTTATCAAGTTTGATTCAAGCATGCGCACAAGAATTCTGTTTCTTAGAATTTTTTTCTCTTTTTCATTCATTTTTGTGAAAAACGACAATGTGGGTGGCGTATTTGTTCGTTATAGAAAAGTGAACAGAATTTTTTTTAATGATAAAATTATTATCATTATTTGTAATATCTAGTACTAGTAATATCTTGTAAATTCGAAAAAATGTTTTTGAATTTAGAAATTTCTTGTGTTTTTACTTTCAATTGTTCATTTATTGGTGGTAAGAAAAAATAAACTAAATAGATTTTTTTATAAAAAAAAGTGTTCTAATTTTTTAGTCAAATATTACTGTTTTTTTTTTGGGTAAATTACAAGGGATTTACATTTAGAAATCTTGCCATTCGTTTGAAAGTAAAGAATAAATTTTCAAATAAATTTTTTCTAAAGTGAACGTACAAATGAAGGGATATTTTTTTCTATTTAAATATATTCAAAAATTCCTAGAATTCGTTGATTAAATTAAAAAGTACTGGAATAAAATAAATAAAAAATAAATTCGCAATAATAGAAAGGAATTAATTTTCTAAATTAGAGAAAAAATGTTTTCTAACGTGATTCAAATTTTAACTACAAATGTAAAGAATCGTCGTTCATTTGAATGTTAGAATATTTGGGGTCTTAAGTTTTTAACTTTCAAATGAACGAAATTTACTTATTTCTTTCCAAAATCAAACTTTCAAATTAACTACTTTTTTATATTTTGTTAAAATTTGACTTTTGTTAAAAATATGTTTTTATTATTATAAAAATATTAATTGTTAAAAATATTAATTTAGAAAATTAATATTGTAAAATAAATTTATTGTTGTGAAATAAAAAATCGGTTAAAACAAAATTCAACAAATTAATTAATTAAAATAAATATCAATTGAAAAAAATGCTATGGAACATACAAATTCTATAACAATCCGCAAATATTTTCATTGTCTTCAATCATTAACAATATTTATCTTCATTATCAGCATTTTATTAGTTGTTCTCTTTTCTGGACATTTATCAATTATGTGATCATAGAGAATTGTTATTTCTATGTTTTAATTCACCTTCAATTAAACTTTAATGTTTTACTTAAAAATTTTTTTTTACTTTAAAATTTCCTTAAATTATACAAATTACAATTGTATTTAAATATAAAAATTTACAGAAACATTTTTTTGATTTTTATATATTTTCATAAAATTGTAAAAAATTTGAGATAAAAAAAATTCCTTTAATTGCATTGGATATTTATTTTTATTGATAACAAATTTTTTACTAATTAATTAGTAATTAAATTAGTATTTTTACCAATATAACAGTTTATTTTGAGAATTTATATTTTCTCTATAATAAATATTTCTAATTAATAATAGTTTGCATTTATTTACAGTTAAAACTGATGTGCGAAAAAAATTGCTGGTCTTGCATAAAAATAATCTGTTAATAATGTCATTTGAAAAAATTGGAATTGGATTTTCTTTCTGTGTGACTATTTGAAGTACATAAACGATTTATAATAATAACTATGAAGAAAAGGAATATTTAAAGGAATTAATTTTTCAGAAATATTCAAGAAATCTCAACTGATTAGAAGGTAATTTTGCAAGAAGAAATTAAAGATAATTTTGCTGCGCTTTCTAGGAAGGTACCTAAGAAACAAACAATTTTAGGTTATGTTCATAATTTTTCGAGTAAAAATACAAAAAGAGAATCAATTACTATTACAAATTGTTGATTCTCAAGTCTTCGTTACTTCTGAAATATTAAATAAAAACTAGTTTCGAATTTAAATAATTAAAAATAAATTTTTAATTAAGCTAAAAATAACGCAAACGTAACCTTAAAGTGATTTGCTCCTTGGGTACCTTTCTTGGGAGCGAGTCACAATTAATTAAAACTGCAAATAGTATTAACGAAATAAGGAAAATTAAATTATTCGTTTCCTATTTCTATTATTGTCCAAGTAAGGTTACATAATTAAGAAAGAAATACGCAATAATTTTATTTTTTTATTATTATGTTTATTTTTATTAAAGAAGTACAAGTTATAAATTTTTAATGTTCGTAAAAAAAGTTGCATAATTTATAATTAATAATTATTACAAGACTTTTTACAATATTATTAGAATATTCACTCATTTTATTTAAGTATACAATGCTTCTTAACTTCATCACTGTGAAATAATAGAATAATTAATTTAACACAGTAAATGACGATTTGTTTAAAATTTAAAAATTGCACACTCAGTGAAAAATTAGTTCAATAAAACGAAATTTTGGTCGAATCAACGGAATAAATCCTTTGCTATCAAACATTTGAATATGGTTCAACTAAAAATTTGCTTTTCATGACCAAATTTCTTGAGTGCATTGCATTTCTTCGATTGCAACATTTATTTAACTCAGCCAAATATTTATTTAAATTAAATAAACATTTGGCTTTTTTTTATATATAATTTAACTCAGTTTATACAAACTTTATTTATTTTTTACACAATTTAAAAAAAAAAGATGAAAATCGCTATAATATTATTATTTATTCGTTCGTCTCATTGTTATCAAAACTGATAAATAGCCCATTGAGGTTTTCATAATCTGAAATTTGAAAAATTAAAAAAATAAAGAATTATTTGCCCCTAAAATATAAAGGATATAAAGTTTATATTTATCTTTAAGGGGACCCGCACCCGAAATTTCAACTGTAATAGAATATAAATGGAAAAATTTTTTATATTTTTTTCCTGACACTATTTTGATTCAGAAATAAGGTGAAAAAAACAAAAAAAATTTTTCATGATTTTTTTGGAAATTAAAAAATTTTAAAAAAAAATTTTTTTTTTTGTAACTTTTGACAAAATTAAAATTTTACAAAATCCATGTCCTTAATTATAAAATGGAGTGTAAGAAACTCATTAAAACAAAAACCATGAAAAAAATAATAAAATTTGTGAAAGAAGAAGCATTTTTTATAAGTTTATGGTATAACATTATAAACCATAAATTTACAAAAAAGATGCTTCTTCTTTTACAAATTTTATTATTTTTTTATGGTTTTTGTTTTAATGAGTTTCTTACACACCATTTTATAATTAAGGGCATGGATTTTGTGAAATTTTAATTTTTTGTAAATTTATGGTATAACATCGAAATGTTATACCATAAACTTATAAAAAATGCTTCTTCTTTCATAAATTTTATAATTTTCTTTTCATGGTTTTTGTTTTAATGAGTTTCTCACACTCCTTTTTATATTTAAGGGCATGGATTTTGTAAAATTTTAATTTTGTCAAAAGTTACAAAAAAAATTTAAAAAAAAAAATTTTTTTATTTTCCGAAAAAATCATGAAATTTTTTTTTGATTTTTTCATTCTATTTCTGAATGAAAATAGTGTCAGAAAAAAAATATACAAAATTTTTTCAATTATATTCTGTTATAGTTGAAATTTCGGGTGCGGGTCCCCTTAAAAAATATTAGATAATTATTTTATAAACTTACGCTGCCAAATAAAATCAAATTCAGAACACAAAATTTACCAGCTGTAATTGCAACTGGTTTATGACCAATTTGCATTAGAAGAATTAAGTATTTCGCTTTTTTTGCAGGTAGGTTGTACCAATGGCAGTTGTAGGCCGTTTGTGCGAAGGCATAACTCTAAAAAAGTGTTTATTAATAAATAAGAAAGAGTTAAATAAATATATTCTGGAGAAGAGATTTTTTTAAAATATTTAAAAATATTTTACTTTGATTAATTGTTCAACCTAAATAAAATTCTTATTATATTAAATTATTTAACAAAATTCGCATTACTTTAAAAAAGTCTGACGACTTTTTTTAAAGAAATATGAATTTTGTCCAGGTCCGCCATATTGGATCCGCCATTTTGAATTTTGTAAAAATGACATTGCATTCGGAAATAGTGATCCGAAAACCTCCGAGTAATAATTTTTATGAGCTTAGCTCAAAGTAATTTCAATTTTTAATATTTTTACAAATTTTTTTTTTTGTCTTTTTGATTTTTTCAAATTAAAAATATTTTATTTGTTTGTGTTTAGAAATGAAACATATTTTGATAAAATTATATGAATATTTTGATCGAAAACCTCTGCGGCCATTAAAAGGTTAATATAATTCAAAGAAAAGAGTAAAATATTTTTTCTATAGAAATACAATGCTGAATAGAAATTATTTACTTCCATTTGTAGTTGTTCGCCTAAATAGCAATATACATAAAAATTTCCAATCATATACATGAGGAAAACAATGATAAAAAGAACAGCAAGTAGCATCGAATTTGAATTTCTGTCCGTTATGTACTGAAAAGTAAAAATATCTGCAATATTACACTCAGAAAATTTTTTATTTTAACCAAATATATAAATTAATTTATAAAATATATATGAATAGAAATTATTTGTTCCAAATAAATAAATATATTTGTTTCGCAGTCTAATGACTTTTTTTATTTGTTTTTCAAATTTTATTTTGTAGAAATAAATTTTGTTAGGCGGATTAAAAATGTTTATTTGAACCAAATTTGTTTTTAGAATTTATTTGAATTACTTTAAATAAATATTTAGAACGAAATAATGATGATGTTTTGTCATTGTGCACTACTGAATTTGTTACCATGAAGAATAATGCAATTAATTTTCTAAAATTTCGAATTTCGAATTAAAAATGAAAAAAAATTTCTAAATAATACAAAGTGTACCTACTAAAACAAGAAGAAATCCTTGCATACAAAATTGAATACTGCAACCTATTAATTGAACCAGAAACATTAAGTAGAAAGTGCTCTCCAGGATTGAGATGCAACTAAATAAAAAATTGTTTTAACAACCAAAGAAAAAAAGCAGAATTTACCGTCTAAATCTGAACGGAATATATCTTCTTCAGATTTAGAGAGTACGTCACATAAAACTAATAAAGAAAATTCCAAATTAAATTCAAAATCTTTTCTAAAAAAAATTCTGTCCCTCCAGAAGTTTATATAAGTTTAAAATTTTTACTTAAAATTGCCACAGAATTTTTATTTTCTAACTATAAAAATTAATTATGAATAAAAACATTAAGAATAAAGAAATTAAGAATAAAGAAATTGAGAATAAAAACCTTAAGAATAGAAATTAATTAAGAACCTATTTAGGTGCTCGTGAACATCGACGATGTAACCAATTTTCTCATCAAACTCATGACCAAATATTGTCACATTAAAATTATTGACAAGCTCTAAAAGTTGTAACCGTAAAATATTGTATTCTCCAGAAATATGCAGAACTGTTTGACTGAAAAAGCCATCGGTACCAGTATAGGCTGCAGTTGCAAGAAAAGTACCGAAATATTCAATAAAACAAGTAATTTCAAACATTGGAGTGTAGTTCCAATTGAAGGGATAATAGGCTTCAACATAGAGCGTATAATTCTTAAAGCGCTCGGAATTATTCCAATTTTGTAAATTTTCAAATATCCACTGCACTAGACGGGCAACCATCGTTGCATGTCCCAAAAACATACACAGGACTGCAATTTTTTTACCCTCTACCCCTTTTTTCATCATGATCTCTACTTCTTTATTGCTTCTATTCCTCTCCCAGTGATCCATCATGCAGCCATAGAGAATAATCATTTCTAATAAGAAAGAAAAGGGAAAATTTCATTAATTTATGATTTTTTAACCTCTGTATTTATAATCTGTTGATTAAGTAAATTTTAATTGAAAATTTTATTGTTTATATGTGTATTTTGTTATTGTTTTTTTAATCTATCAAAAACTAGTGTTATTGCCTCAATTTCCTCTCACTCTACATAATTTATCTATTTAATCATCATGAAAAATATACATAATATATATTTTTTTTTTTTTGAGGTAATATCTCAATATTAATGTGATTATTGTAATGACAACTTTTGCAATAGCAATTTTCTTCAAAGTTGAAATATTTTCTCAAAAAAAAAAAAAAAAGTAAATTCTTTATTAAAAAATACAAACTTTCTTTATTGTAATAAAGCACGCTCATTTTTGTCAAAGCTACCAAATACGGTAACTCTGCAGTGGAAACTATTTGACTTATCAGGTCAATATTATCTCGAACTTGGATCAACTTAATGCCTTGTGGTATGACAACACTCACAATCATTGTTACAATACTTGTGAAAAATAAAATTTTTGACAATTTTTTATTTGTATAAGCAGGCCATGCGCCAAACCAAGCCAGACTTATTCGGGAGAATTTCATCAAAAATACCAATGCTGGAAAGAAATAATTGAGATTTATGAAAGGGACAAAAATAACTTTAGAGAGAAATGCAAATATAGTCCCGCACAAAATTTTATTATTTATGAAAATAATTGAATTATTCACTCGAACAAAATTTTTTGCCCTGGGACAACCATAAGTTTTACTGAAATAGCGAAAGTTTTAATTGAAATAACGAATAATTTCGCTAATATAGTGAATTTTGTAGCTGTTCTGAGTAAAATTACTTTTCCGTGTAGCAAAAAAATTTTTTAAAAATAATTAAACGTTTGCGTTGAATTTTATTAATAATGTTTTAAATTGTCGAGTAGCGTAATAAGTAGCATGAAATATTGTTGGTGATAAATCGTAAATTTTAAAACTTGTAGGATTTAAATATTTTATTATTAACTTCTAAGAAGCTTTAATTTAATTTTCCAGCATCAGGAAGCAATTGAAAAATTATCTTTTTTACTTTATAAATCCAAAATATGTCCGACTGATGTTCGATTATAAAAAAAAATTGTTCGACTACTGAAGCATTTTTTCATTAAATTGATTATATTTTATTAACTCACGTATTTTTAGCAAATTTACATGATTTTTAATCCTGAAAAACTCTTTCAAGGGATAATGTGCTTAAGAAACAGAAAATATTTGTTATTTCAAGAAGAAAGCTAAATCACTATTTACATAAAAGTATCAAATAGCAACGAAATGATACTAAAAATGTAAATGAAATACTAAATTGATTTAAATTTTTTGTATCAATTTGATCCACATTGGTATTAATTTGATACTTTCAAGAAAAATGTGATAAATATAAGATTGTTGTCTGATCCGACTACTAGGGCATTTATCCTATAAAGTTTATTTCTACTCTCTAAATTATAATTAGTAAAAATATTTACTGAATTTCTGCTTTTGAATTAGTAAATTTTACTAATAAATTAATAGAAATTACTATTAATTAGTAAAATTACTAATAAATAAAATAAAATAAAAACAATTTACTAATTCAAAAGCAAAAAGTCAGTCACTGATTCAAATTAGTAATTACTTTTACTAATTCAAATTTAGAAAGTATTGCAGTAAAAACTATGACACTACAATTATTTATAAAGATGAAATTAATAAATAAATAAATAAATAAAAGTAATACAAATAAAGTAAATGAAACAAAATTTTGCATACGCACCATTTTCACCCTTCATACTTATTATCTCAAGCAATAATCAGTTAATTTTTATAAAAATTGTTTAAATTCAGGTGCAATTTTTTTTAAGCACATTACACTTTAATTACAATACCAAAGATAATAATTAGATAATAATTTAATAGAAAAAATTGTTATTTGGAAATTATTCGGAAATAAACAGTTATTAATGTCCTTATTAATGTCTAATATATGATACGAGTGAAGAAATATTGTCGAATGTGTAAAAGTATGATTCAGTGTAATTTAAATACTATCGATATCTCTATGGACTAATGGTGGAAACATTGTAAGGAGTAATATGCTTAATAAAGTAATATATTGAGCGAATCTATTTCTGGGAAAATAAAAAAAGAATGAAAAATAAAGTATATCAGGCCTTTAATTTAGAAAGTTATTTAATGACGAGTCATTAGAGTTGCTCACTTTTTCTTTTAAATTGTATATGCAAGCCTGCGCACATGATTCTTTTGTCAGAAATTCTAGTTTCATTGTATTGTCTTCCCTCAGATCTTAAACCGAGAACATTCCTCTTTTTTTAGTTTTAAAATATTTTCCTAAAAAAAAAAACAGTTTTGTATGACAAAAATATCATCGAACAAAAAAAGGAATTTCTTTGAAATTTACTATTTGATGTCTTAATAAGTCACTTTTGCTGTCTGACTAAAATTCATTTTTACTAATGTCATCAAAAGTTACAGTGGTTTAAAAAAAAAAAATTTGTATCGCTCATTTTAAGTTCTAGAAAAATTAAAATAATTGGAAATATTTAATATTTTAATATTATTCGTATTATTCAAAAATTAATTGATTTGAAAATTTTTTCTAGATTTTAATGAAATTTTTCTATATTCCGCCGAAGGTCTTTTATAAACTAGAATTTTTTTTATATTATTTTGCCTGTTTGTATTTTAAATAAATATCTAAATTTCGCTTTTTAACATATTTTACATAAAATGAAAAATATTTTCAAAAATCATAATTATTTTCTCTCAGTGCGTGACACACACACACACACTGATTTTTGTTTTAATATTTTTAAAAATTATACAAGATTGAAAAGAAAAATACCGTAATTGAACATTTCTGTAAATTGAAAATGAATTCTTTAATTATAAAAAACAAGATTTTGTAATAAAAATCAAATTAAAAGAAGTAAAAAGAATATAATCGTTCATTTAAACGTTTAAAATTTTAGGAACATGCGTAATATTTTATTATTTAAAAAAGAAATTTAATTTTTCTCTTACAAAACTTTTTTTTTTTCGTGAGTTAATAAAAGAATTGTTGTAGAATTTTAAATTTAAAGTGAAAAATTAAAATGACAAAATTGAAAAATTAAAAATTGAAAAATGATTTAAAAATATTTCTAAGACATTTCTTTTATTGCAGGTAAGACCTTCTAATTATACTAAATTATAAAATTAATAAAATTAATTTTCGGTCTCAAAAATAAAAATTAATTACACGAATGTACATCTTCGAAGGAATTCCACTTGACATGTATGACATGTAAATGTTTTTTTAGAAATGTGTTGAGGAGTAAATTGTCGAAAGGTATAGAAACTGATTTTATTTTGCAATGAGGAAAACAAAAGTTATTTAAAAAATACTGAAACCGTAGAGGGAATCCCTCCCTAAGTGTGTGACGGAGGGTTAAAGATAATTGAAATTTTGACCTGGCACTTTTAAAAATTTTTGAGCATAATTGAATTTCTGCGAATAATTTTATTTCTGCAATCATTTGTAACTTCTTATAAATTCAATTTTTTCCAGTACTTTAATAAAAATTCCTGAATTTTCCCTGATTTTTCGTAACCTATGACAACCCTGAAAATGTTATAATATTTTTTGTCCTACCTGCACGGAAAGTATGTCATTTCGGGCACTTAGAGCGGGCGCAAAGTATCTCATTCCCACCCAGGGGCAGGGGAAGCGGGCGCAAAATATTTTGCACCCGCTTCCTCTACCTCCGAGCGGGCGCAAAACATTTTGCGCCCGCATGTTAATTATTCGATTTTCTTCATTAAAATGCGATATTTTCGACTTTCTTTTTATGTTAACTATAAAAATGCAAACATTTTTAACTTGTTTTATTTTGTCTATAAAAATGTGCTATTTTTTTAAGATTTTCTCTAAAAGAAATTATGACAAATTTGGTTTTGTTCCCATTTCGGTTGTAAAAATTATCAATTTTAAATACATTGTTTTCTTATTTCTATATTAAAACTTTTATCATTATAGACTTCAAAGAGTTAACATTTATATATATTTATATATAGGTAATAACTTTTTTCTTTTTTTATCATTCGTAGAATACCTTAAGACGTATTTTCTTTTTTGTTTCATTGAAAAATTTTTAAAATTGTCTTAAATATCGCGAGTTGAAGTGAAAAATGTCATTTACAGTTTTCGAAAAAACAGTTTTTCCCAAATATTTCGAAAACGGAAATATATAGAAAAAAATTTCATAAGAAAAAAAGATGCGGAATGAAATTTTCTATAAGAATGTGTATTTAAAATATTTAAAATCAGAAGTTGAATTTTGAGTGTTCAGGGGACTTAAATTTCGGCCGAGAAAAATTTACGTGCCCTTCTACGATCCAGCCGCTCAATTGAGCTAAAGAGTTCCGATTTTTTCTCAATTTTGCATCTTTTCAGGCCGAATGTAAACAGTCACTATTAAAGAATATTAATTTTACCAATTGTTTAAACAAATTACTATTGTTTAACTTCCACTTTTTATCAAAATGAGCTACAGAGTTGCAACTTTTTCTTAATTGTACATTTTATTTTTTTGTGAGGTAATATTTAATGTAAGACTTAATTATCGAGTAAAAATTGTGAACAATAAATTTATTATTATAAAAATGTTAAGTACAAAAAATTTTATTTACATCATTGAAATTACTACTGCGATAGCTTCAAATTTAAAATAACAATTTGTTTAAGCAACTGGTAAAATTGTAATTCTTAGATTGTTGTTAGTCACTAGTTACATTTGGCTTGGAAAAATGCAAAATTGAGAAAAAAATTGCGACTCTGCAGCTAAATTTGATAAAAAGTGGAAGTTAAACAATAGTAATTTGTTTAAACAATTGGTAAAATTAATATTCTTTAATAGTGACTGGTTACATTCGCCCTGAAAAGTTGCAAAATTGAGAAAAAATCGGAACTCTTTAGCTCAATTAGATAAAAAGTTGTAAATAAACAACAATAATAATTTGTTTAAACAAATTAGAAATTACATGGAATAATGTTTAAAAATCAATATTTGTGTTATTTATTCATAATCTAGAAAAAACTTTGATAAAAATAGTAAAAAATATTTTTTAACGATTTTTTTATAATTTTGAAATTTATAGGGTTTTTTGGGGGCACTATAAAAAATAGTTAATTTAAAAAAATGGTTAAATAAACAATTTATCACTATTCTTTGAAGTCTTCTGAAGAGAAATAGAGTTTGCTGAATGAAAAATATTGATTTTCAATGATTCTATACCAATTCTACGAAAAAGTGTTTTTTCCCCATGCATTTTACATGGAAAACTTTGAGCGCTTTGAGGGACCTCTAAATATTTTTTTATTTTCAAAATCCATATAGAACAATCCTAGGGGGTGAGAGCATTAAAATTCTGATTTTATTTTTTTCTCATGTATTTTTGGACCACCCTAAACAATATACTTAACAAAAGTAATATTGAACGAAACTATTTCTGTAAAAATGAAAAAGAATAAAAAAAATATATCAGAACTTTAATTTACAAAGTAGTGCAAAAGTTTTAATATTTTTAAAATCAATTATTACAAATTACTTTAAAATTATCAGTTGTCACGGTCACTTCTAATCAATTTCTCGTCTTTAATGAACAAAAAGTTTTGAACGTTCAAATGAACGAAATATTTTTTGTTAAAAATATTTTCATAGATTATTGATTACAATGCAAATTAAAAACTCAAATTTTACATTTAGAAACATTATAATTAATTTGCTTAATAGTGACGCAAAATTATGGTAATAAAAATTTAATTTGTAGAAGAAATAAATAAATTTCGTTCATTTGAACGTTCAAAACTTTAACCTCCTCGTCTTTACCGATTTCAAAGTGTTTTATTATAATTTATTTTTTAATTATTAAAACTTTTGCACATTACTGCCCTTCTTTATTATATTTTAGACTTTCCCACAAAATTTCAGCTCAATTTATTAAATATTTAAAGAGAAATGTGGTCGAAAAAATTACCATTGAATGTCTAACAGTCACATGCTGTTAATGTCTCTTGTATATGTAAGCCTGCGCAGATGCTTTTATTAGAAATTACTTTTTTTTGTTTTATTGTCTTCTCCCAGATCTTAAACCGAGAACATATTTCATTTTTTTCCTAAAAGAGATTTTCATTTTTGAGCTTTTGTATTGTTATGACAATTTCTGTTGAAAGATATTGCGAGTGAAGGATTAAAAATTTTGTAATGCTTTTGAATAGTAGAAGGAACAGCATTTGAAGAATTTTAATCCGACCACAGCGTTATTTTACTATTCCAAAATACAAAACCGATGACAAATTAGGGTGCGTAAGATTTTTGTCTTTATTTCATGAATCTAGTGGTTCCTCATAAAAAAATTTTGTTTCATCATAAATGATTTTGAAAATTTTTATTTTCACTAGAATAGAGTGGTGTGAAATAGACGCTATAAAACCGGAATTGAAATTTTTTTTCAAATTTTCAACTGGTAGCGAAAGCTTAGTTATTAAGTTTCGAAATTTTTGTCGGATTTTTTGTCCCATTGGCTTAATTAACTTTGTTTTTCGTTTGAAGATAGGAATTGTTTAAAAAAATACACAAATTATTCACAGAATAAAGTTTCTATTTATTAGTAAATATAATTAATAAATGCTGACAAACATTAAAAGCATATTAACAATTTTAAAAACAGTTAACAATATTATCGATATTAAAAATATTACAACAATATTAACAATATTAAAACAATATTTCTAATATTTAGCAAATAATCCACAAGTTAATATTCTCAAAAATTACTGATTGCAGAAAAATTAATTTGAAGAAATCAATAAATTTCATTCATTTGAACGTTCAGAACTTTTTTGTTGCAAAATAAGTTTTAAATATATTTTTGAATTTAAATATTTTGTCATAAAAATAAAATAAATATTGTAAGTAGCATTATTCAGTTACTTAAGTAACAAGACCAAGTAATTAGCAGAAATAAATAAAGTATCACTACATTGATTACCATTTCCTTCAAATACAGAATTGAATGGTTCAAATAGTCTCTTCGATTTAAATAAAAATTATTTCCACCAAGTAATTATAGTCAACTATCATTAAGCAAGTAAAATCGTCTATTTGATGCAGATAAATTTTTTCTCAGTGCAGAGAATTGGTAGAATTTAAATACTATGTATAAGGGTAGGAAGGAAAAATATTGTGAACAAAAATATACTTAATAAAGAAATATTGAACGAATCTATTTCTGTGTAATTGAAAAAGAATGACGAAATAATATATGATACTTTGCATTTTATAAAGTTAGCTAATGACAGTCATTAGTGTTTGAACTTTTTTATGAGTTGAATTTGAGCCTGCGCACTTAATCAATTTGTTATAAATTTTATTTTCATTCCGTTGTCTCCTCTCAGATGTCAAACATAAAACATATTTTTTTCTATTTACTATTTCTGTTTCTTGAAAATTTCCCTTCAGTCAGTTGTAGTGAGGCTCGACTTGAAATGAAATTTTCTCTCTCTCGTCTAAGAAGGTTAATGATACATTTTTTAAATGTTCAGTTCCACTAATGTTGGCGGTAATATTGTATCAGAAAGCTTTTTTTGAACAGTTTGTAGAGTTTCTTCAGACGCATCTTTTGACCTATTAGCGAACTTTTCACACTAATTCTATTCAGAGTTATAAAAGTTTTAAAAATTTTGAAAAAAGATTATTTCTGTAGAGTAGAGATTTTTGTAGATTCTAGTTCGGATGCTGTACCTATAATATTATATTATATATATAATATATATATAATATTATATATATTATATATTATATATATATATTATATATTATATATTATTATATTATTATTATTATTTTTATTGCAATTTTTATTTTCGAGTTGCTCTGCACAAAACATTTATATCTATTGTTTGTAAAATGTTTGTAAAACTTTTTTTTTTTGTTGCAGGTAAAGCATTCAAATATGAAAGAAAAGGATGGCAGGAATTTTTGACAAAAATTGTTATCAATAATGCAATAATGATGTTGGCATCATCTTAAAATGCGTATGTAAGTTATTTTTTTGATAATTTAGTAATTTTTTTAAGTGTTCGGTATTCATAAAATATTTCATTTTTTGAAAAAGTAATATTTACTATATACCGATAACATTTGGGCTCCAAAAGTGCAGAAGATATCCCTCCTGGTGCGTCTGCTGTCCCAAAATCGTCTATGGTTTTTTAAGTTCTTAGAGCAACTATGGTAGAAACGTCTGATATACCAAAAATTTTCCGCGTACTAATTTAATAATGAAATTTAATAATAATAAAAATTTGTCGTTTAACCAAAAATTTAAGACTTCAGATAATAATACAATTTTAGCGTAGTCTTTCGGTTGAAGATAAGGAACTGTTAAAAAAAATAAACAAATTATTCTCAGAATAAAGTTTCTATTTATTTGTGAATATAATTAATAAATGCTGACATAAATTTTCTTGCAAGATTCAAACAGTATTAACAATATTATCAATATTAACAGTATTATCAATACTAAAAATATTACATCGCAATATTAACAACATTAAACAATATTCCTAATATTTAGCAAATAATCTACAAGTTTTTATTTTAAGGTTAAAATGAAGGAAATATTTTTTATTAAAAATATTTTCAAAAAATTACTGATTGCTAGGAAAAATTAATTTGAAGAAGATATAAGTAAATTTCCTTCATTTGAACATTCAGAACTCAATTGTAACATAATAAGTTTTAATTATACATTTTTGAATTCAAATATTTTGTCATAAAAATACGATATAAATGTTGTAAGCAGCATTTTTCAGTTACTTAAGAAACAAGACAAATTATTAACTTTTTTGTTTCATTGTTATCAAAAAAGACAAATATCCCATGGATGTCTTCATAATCTAAAAATAATAAAAGAGAAATTATTTTATTTTTAATTTTTAATTTACATTGAATGAGAACTGGATTATAAGAAAGCTATATTTTTACATATTATTTTGGATTAAAAAATTATCAAATTTCAATTAAATTTGTAATAAAAATTAGGAAAATATATTACTTACACGTGCAAATAAAATCAAATTTAGTTCACAAAATCTACCAGCTGTTATTGGGACTGGCTTATGACCAGACTGCATTAAAAACATCAAACATTTTGCTTTTTTTGGCGGCAAATTAAACCAATTACAATTATAAACCGTTTGTGCGAAAGCGTAACTCTGAAAAAGTGTTGATTAATAATATGCAATATTTCCCTTAAACATGTATTTATAATATCTTACTTTTCTTACATTTTTTCCCTTAAAGATTGAATTACTCACTTCCATTTGAAGTTGCTCTCCCAAATAGCAGTAGACATAAAAATTTCCAATCAAATATGTGACCAATACTATAATGAAAAGAACGGCAAATAGCATCGAAATGGATTTTATTTCAGTTACATACTGAAAGTAAAATTATATACCTCATTAAAATATTTAATTCTAAAAATAATTTAGTGTTGATATTTAAATAGAAATGACTTTTTTTGTAAAAAAATATATTTACCGAAACAAGAAGAAATCCTTGCAGGCAAAATTGAAAACTGCATGCTAATAATTGGGCAAGAAATATGAAACTGAATACACTCTCCAAGATTGAAATGCAACTAAATATAAATATTTAATTAGTAAAGAAAAATATTTGCTTCTAATCAATTTTGTTCAGTTCAAATAAATTTTACTGGTTCAAACAAATTTTGTTTATTATTCACATTAATTTTTTTTTACTTATACAAATTTTATTTGCTTCAAATGTAGGTATTTTAATTGGTTTAAATTTTTTTTTTTGGTTAAAAAAAATTATATTTGACTTACAATTTTTTTTGTCATTTAAAATAACTTTTTTTATTTAAATAAATTTTTTATTTCTCACAAATATTTGCTACGAATAAATTTTGTTCAGTTCAAATATATTTTATATGGCACAAATGAATTTTAATTGGTTTAACAAATTTATTGTTTGGTTCAAAAAAATATATTTGACTCGCACAAATTTCATTTGGTTTAAATAAATGTTATATCCAAATGTTATATCCAAAAAACATTTCATCTGTAAAAAATGAAATTTCTATTTAAAATAAATAAGTTAATTTGCAGGCTCTGAGACAAAATATTGTATTTTTATCAAACTCCAATTTAATTCAGGTAGTTTAAATGCGAATAAAAATAAGTTGAAATAACAAAAATAAATAATAGGTAATAATAAATAAATATAAATAAAAAAAAGTAAGTATTTTTCTGAGTATATAGAAAATAGGAAAATAGTGAACCATCGCAAAGAAAGGGACCTAAGAAACAATGTTTTATAGGTTAAGTTTGTTATCCTTTTACCTTGAAAAAAAGATTCTTTTTTAATTTTTTTAAAATGAAAAACAAAATTTTTGAATATCTTAAACATTATAAAGGCTTAACCATAATTAATTTGAACTGAGACTTAACATACATTTAGCATTTTCACTTAAAACATAACAAACATAACCTTTAAGATATTGCATCTTAGATCTCTTTATTCTTGTAGCGTTATAATTTCCAAAAATTGAAGATAACAGAAAACAAACATGAGTAAAATTTCACAAAGTTTTTATAATTAAAAATTCCGTGAATATACAATTTGTGTATAAACAGACTTTATAAAAATTAGCATAGAATAAGAACCTATTAATATGATCATGAACATCAACGATGTAGCCAAATTTTTCATCAAATTCATTATCGAATATTGTGACATTAAAATTATTGACAAGATTAAGAAGTTGTACGCGAAGAACGTTGTATTCTCCAGATAGATGAAGAACAACTTGGCAAAAGAAGCCGTCAACACCAATATATGCCACAGTTGCAAGAAAAATACCAATAAGTTCAATAAGGCTTGTTATTTCAAAAATGGGACTATAATTCCAAGTGAATGGATAATAAGCTTCAACATAGAGCGTATAATTTTTAAAGTGCCCTGAAGTTTTCCAATCGCTTAAATTTTCAAAAAACCACTGAATGGAAGAGACGATTACTGATGCATTCCCCAATGATATACATAGGAGAGCAATTTTTCTACCCTTGTCACCAGTCCTCCTCATGATCTCAATTTCTTCAGTATTTCTATCTTTATCCCAATGGTCAATCATTCTGCTATAGAGAATCGTTATTTCTAGAAAAAGAATTTATAAATGGTAAATAATGTCCCTAAAGTTAGCGGCGATAAATAGCGTCGAAAAGTATTATTTGGAATTGTTAGAGTTGAAAAAGGCACTAATTTCGATTATTTTATTCGGTTAGAAGTCAAAAAATGTTCAAGACATTTTTCTAACCTGAAATTTTTAAAGCAATTGTTTAATTCTTTGCGATTTGGGTAGAAAAATTGTTTTCGACTCTCATCGTAGACGCTAACTTCACAGACTTGATAAATAATGTGTTAATTGTTTAATTTAGTAAATTAAAATACTGAGTGAGTAAATATCTGAATAGTATGTTGAAAAATCGTAAAAAAGTAATTACAAACATTTATTTTGAATGATTTAATAGTACATTGTGCATCAAGTGTGAAAAGAAAAGTTGTTTTTTTACAGATGTGACACAAAAATTGTTTTTTAAACATGAAATATAATAACTACACCGTAATATTGCAAGATATTTTCTCACGATAGTAATATTAATACTAAAATTGTTTTTTTAAACAAACTTTTTTTATTATAATATATTATGATCATTTTCGTCAAAACAACCACAAGTGGTAATTCGGCGATGGAAATAATTTGACTTATTTGTTCGAGATTATTTCGAACTTGAATCATTTTGATTCCTTGTGGTATGAAGACACTCAATATTATGTATACGAAACTCATACAAAACATGATTTTCGATAATGTTTTATTTTCATTCGTGGGCCATACCCCAAATGATGATAAATTTAGACGTGATACTCTCGTCAATAAATCCACAACTAAAGACAAAATAAAATGTTAATATGCAGTCTTGAAAATAAATTAAATTCAAATTAAACTTTAATATTAAAAAAGCCAAAAAGGAAGATGGAATAAGTACTAAACAGACAAAAAAATTTAATTCAAAGGACTAAAAGAAACAATGCAATGCAAAACGAAAAATTCGGATTGTAGTCAGAAAAATAAAATTAATAAACTAAATTATAAAAATAATTTTTTTCTGTATTATAAATAAATACATATTAATTTTAATAATACAATGAAGTATTAGAAGATATTGGCGAGTCATTTACAAAATGCATTACTTTCGAGTACACACCATTTTTACCGCTCATTGTTTTTTCAAGCAACAACATCATTAATACAAGTATAAAGAGATAAATCAAACGAAAAAATTTAATACTTGAGCACCAAAAAATTATTTATTTGCTTTAAATAATAAATTACTTTACTTAAATCACCACTAATTACTTGAAATTACTTAATTACGAAATAATCTTTAAATCCATAAACAGTATTGTTTCATTAAATACTATTTGCTTTAAATAGTATCACTATACATTAATTACTATTTCCATAAAGTACAGAATTTAATGGTTCAACTAGAGTTTCTTCGATATAAATAAATATTATTTCCACAAAGTAATTATTTATTTAGTAATTTAGTCGACCATCATTAAGCAAGTAAAATCGATTATTTGATGCAGATAAATTTTTTCTCAGTGCAGAGAGTTGGTAGAATTTAAATACTATGTATAGGCTATGGAGGAAGAAATATTGTGAACAACAATATACTTAATGAAGAAATATTGAACGCATCTATTTCTGTGGGAATGAAAAAAGAATGACAAAAGAATATATCAGACTTTGCAAATTATAAAGTTAGTTAATGACAGTCATTAGTGTTCGAACTTTATTATGAGTTGAATCTGAGCCTGCGCACATAATCCATTTGTCATAAATTTTAGTTTCATTACATTGTATTCTCTGAGATCTCAAACCTGGAACATATTTTTTTCTATTTACTATTTCTGTTTCTTGGAAATTTTCCTGAAGTCAGTTATAGTGAGACTGAACTTGAAATAAAATTTTAATACATTTAACGGAATAGAGATATTTTTTTGTAATGAATATCTTTTATGAAAAATTTATTACTGATTGGATACTATTTTCAAAAGGATAAAAATTTAAGCATTTGATTAGAAATAATTGAAACGTCTAAGGAGGATAATGATGAATTTTTATATTTTTATGTTCCACTAATGTTAGAATGTAAATTTAATTGGGTAAAACACAACTTTTAATTCTACTTTGGATGTTGTATCTATAATATTATAGTTTTTATTGCAATTTTTATTTTCGTGTTACTTTGCACAAAACATTTCGACCAACCTTTCAAACATATTACATCTTGTTCAAGTGACCGGAAAATAAAAGTAAATGTAAAGAGAAAATTATACTTAAAATGTATGCTTTAATGATTTTTTCAAATTGACCTAACTTCCAAAATTGCTTTTTTTTAAAACTGGTATTAAGCCAATGGGATTGTCACCCCACTCTATTTCAAGAATTGTTTATTTTTAATAATTTTAAAATCAACTTTACTTCGTTCGAAACTTTGCGAATATCTGTTTGGAAAATGTATCCAAAACTTTTTTTTTATTGCAGGTAAGGCATTCAAATTTATAGACGAAAAGGATAGCAGCAATTTCTGCCAAGAATTCTTATCAATAATGCAATAATAATGTTGGCGTCATCTTAAAATGCGTATGTAAGTTATTTTTTTGATAATTTAGTAATTTTTTTAAGTGTTCGGTATTAATAAAATATTTCATTTTTTGAAAAAGTAATATTTACTATACACCGATAACATTTGGGCTCCAAAAGTGCAGAAGATATCCCTCCTGGTGCGTCTGCTGTCCCAAAATCGTCTATGGTTTTTTAAGTTCTTAGAGCAACTATGGTAGAAACGTCTGATTTACCAAAAATTTTCCGCGTACTAATTTAATAATGAAATTTAATAATAATAAAAATTTGTCGTTTAACCAAAAATTTAAGACTTCAGACAATAATTTTAGCGTATTCTTTTGATTGAAGATAAGGAACTGTTTAGAAAATTCACAAATTATTCGCAGAATAAAGTTTCTGTTTATTATTGAATATAATTAATAAATGCTGACATAAATTTTCTTGCAACGTTAAAACAAAATTAACAATAATTATTATCAATATTAACAGTATTATCAATATTAAAAATATTACAGCGCAATATTAACAACATTAAACAATATTCCTAATATTTCGCAAATAATCCACAAGTTTTGAAGGTTAAAAACTAAACGAAATATTATTTATTAAATATATTCTCAAATATAACTGACTGCAATGAAAATTAATTTGAAGAGGATATCAAGAAATTTTATTTATTTGAACGTTTCGAACTTTATTGTAGCAAATTAACTTTTTTGTTTCATAGTTATTAAAAAGGACAAGTATCCCATTGATGTTTTCATAATCTAAAAATAATAAGGAGAAATCATTTTATTTTCAATTGTAATTAACATTTAATGTGAACTAGATATAAGAAAACATTATTTGCGGAATATTATTTCGCATTAAGAAATTGAAGAATTTAAAATCAATTTGCGATAATTTGAGAAATTATATTACTTACCCGTGCAAATAAAAATAAATTCAAATCACAAAATCTACCAGCTGTTATTGAGATTGGCTTATGAGCAGACTGCATTAGAAGGATTAAACATTTTGCTTTTTTTGGCGGCAAATTGAACCAATTACAGTTGTAGACCGTTTGTGCGAAAGCATAACTCTGAAAAAGTATTTATTAATATGCAATCTTTCCCTTAAACACATACTTTATATGTTATCCAATTACTTACTTCCATTTGTAGTTGCTCTCCTAGATAGCAGTAGACATAAAAATTTCCAATCCAATACATAAGAAATACTACCATAAAAATAATAGAAACCCACATCGAAGTAGTTTTTGTGTTAGTTAAATACTGAAAGTACAATTATACACCCGATTAGAATATTTAATTGTTTGAACTAATTGAGTACTAGTATTGAAATTAAAATGATATTTCATTGTATAAAAATATATATTATACCGAAACAAAAATATATCCCTGAAGACAATACTGTACACTGCATGCTAGTAATTGGGTAAGAAATATGAAACTGTATACACTCTCCAAGATTGAAATGCAACTGAATATAAACATTTATTTAGTAAAGAAAAATATTTGGTTCAAATGAAATTTAATTAGTTTAAAAAAATTTTGGTTGATTAAAATAAAAATTATATTTGTCCTACTCAAATTTTATTTAGTCCTAAAATAACTTTTTTTGCTTTAAATAAATTTCTTTGGCTCACAAATGTTTGCTTCAAATAAATTTTGTTCAGTTCAAATTAATTTTAATTACATTAAAAAAAATTTGCTTTGTTCCAACTTTTAAAATTTTATTTAATTCCCTGAGTACAATTGGTGTATAAATCGACTTTATAAAAATTAGCATAGAATAAGAACCTATTAATATGATCATGAACATCAACGATGTCGCCAAATTTTTCATCAAATTCATTATCGAATATTGTGACATTAAAATTATTGACAAGATTAAGAAGTTGTACGCGAAGAACGTTGTACTCGCCAGAAAGATGTAAAGCAATATGACAGAAGAAGCCGTCAACACCATTATATGCAAGCGTTGCAAGAAAAATACCAAGAATTTCAATAATGCTTGTTATTTCAAAAATGGGACTATAATTCCAAGTGTATGGGAAATGAGCTTCAACATAGAGAGTATAATTTTTAAAGTGTCCTGGACTACTCCAATTGTTTAAATTTACAAAAAACCACTGAATGGAACAGAAGGTTACCGATGCATACCCTAAGGATATACATAGGAGAGCAATTTTTCTACCCTTGACACCATTTCTCCTCATGATCTCAATTTCTTCATTATTTCTATCTTTATCCCAATTATTAATCATAATGCTATAGAGAATCGTTATTTCTAGAAAAAAATGAATAAATGGTAAATAATGTCCCTACAGTTAGCGTCGACAAATAGCGTCGAAAATTATTATTTGGAATTTTTAGAGATGAAAATGGCACTAATTTTGATTATTTCATTCGGTTAGGAGTCAAAAAAGGTTTAAGACATTTTTCTAACTTGAAATTTTTAAAGTAATTGTTTATTTCTTTCGATTTGGCTACTAAAGTTGTTTTCGACTCTCAGCGTAGACGCTAACTTCACAGACTTGATAAATAATGTATTAATTGTTTAATTTAGTAAATTAAAATACTGAGTGAGTAAATATCTGATAGTACGGTGAAAAATCGTAAAAAAGTGATTACGAATATTTATTTTGAATGCTTGAATAGTACATTGTGCATCAAGTGCGAAAAGAAGTTGTTTTCCGTACGATTTATAGATTCCAGAAGGTGTGACACAAAAATTGTTTTTTAAACATGAAATATAATAACCACACCGTAATATTCCAGGACATTTTCTCACGATAGTAAAATTAATACTAAAATTGTTTTTTTTAAACAAACTTTTTTTATTATAATATATTATGAGCATTTTTGTAAAAACAACCACAAGTGGTAATTCGGCGATGGAAACAATTTCACTTAATTGATCGAGATTATTTCGAACTTGAATCATCTTGATTCCTTGTGGTATGAAGACACTCAATATTATGTATATAAAACTTATTAAAAAAATGATTTTCGATAATGTTTTATTTGCATTCGAGGGCCATACTCCAAATGATGATAAATTTAGACGTGATAATCTCGTCAATAAATCCACAACTAGAGAAACAAAATGAAATGTCAATACGCAGTCTTAAAAATTGGATTAAATAAAATTAAATTTTAATTAAACTATAATATAAAAAAAACTGAAAAGGGAAGATAAAATACTGATAGTAGTAATAAAAACAAAATTAATGAACTATATTACAAAAATAATTTTTTCCTGTATTATAAATAAATACATAATAATTTTAATAATAAAATGAAGCATTAGAAGATATGGGAATATCATTTAAGAAACCAACAGATGTATTACTATCGTGTACACACCATTTTTACCACTCATTGTTTTTTCAAGCAACATCATTAATACAGAAATAAAGAAATATGTATGAAACGAAAAAATGTAATACTTGAGCACCAAAAAATAATTTATTTCCTTCAAATAATAAATTATTTTACATGAATGACTACTAATTATTAGATATGAAATGATATTTTCTTAAATCCATTATTGTTACATTAAATACTATAAATAGTATTACTACATAAAGGACTCCTTAAAGTACAGAATTTAATGGTTCAACTAGAGTTTCTTCGATATAAATAAAAATTATTTCCCTCAAATAATTATTTATTTAATAATAGTCGACCATCATCAAGCAAGTAAAATCGATTATTATTTGATGCAGATAAATTTTTTCTCAGTTTAGAGAGTTGGGAAAATTTAAATACTATGTATAGGCTATGGAGGAAGAAATATTGTGAACAACAATATACTTAATGAAGAAATATTGAACGCATCTATTTCTGTGGGAATGAAAAAAGAATGACAAAAGAATATATCAGACTTTGCAAATTATAAAGTTAGTTAATGACAGTCATTAGTGTTCGAACTTTATTATGAGTTGAATCTGAGCCTGCGCACATGATCCATTTGTCATAAATTTTAGTTTCATTACATTGTATTCTCTGAGATCTCAAACCTGGAACATATTTTTTTTCTATTTGGTACTTGTGTTCCTTGAAAATTTCTCTTCAGTCAGTTGTAATGAGGCTCAACTTGAAATAAAATTTTAATACATTTAACGGAATAGAGATATTTTTTTTAATGAATATCTTTTATCAAAAATTTATTACTGATTGGATACTATTTTCAAAATGATAAAAATTGAAAGAGTTTAATTCGAAAAAATTGAAACGTCTTAGAAGGATAATGATAAATTTTTCGTTCTACTGTCTGCAATAATATTGTATCAAAAATCGTTTTTTGACCAATTTATTGGAGATAATATTGTGTTTTTATAATTACTTAACTTTTGGATAATTCTTTTGAAGTTTTAAAATTATTTTTAATAAATATATTGATTTTTTTATTTATATTTATTTTTATTAATAATTATTACATAGTAAATATTTATATATTATTTTTGCAGTTAAAACTGTTCTTTAAACAAGTTACCAATTATGTACTAAATCGATTTCAGATAACAGCATCTTGTAAAATTAAAATGATAAATTTTCTTTTCTGATCAACGCTTCAAATTAAGAACAACTCGACGAATTTAAAGAATTTGCATTTTTAACACTCAGATCGTATACTCATTAAATAAATAAGGTAATCTTGCGCAATGTATTTTATTTGTACCGAATAATTTTTTATTTTTAAACAAATAAACTAATATTGTTTGTCACAAAAATAATTTTATTTAACTCAAATTATTTTGATTTAAATAAAGCATTTCTGTTTATGTAGAATTTTTGTATTATTTGTATTATTGGAATTAAGAAATAATTTTTTTCACAGTTTAGAATAATTTTATTTTACTGAAACTAAGAAATCTATATAAATTTCGTGGATTCTACATTTTTTTTCTTATTCCAACTCTATGAGGGAAAAATACTAAATGCGTGCACTCGTGCGTGCATTTTGATTTTTTTTTAACTTTTCTCATTTACTGCTTTGCCTCATTGTTATTAAAAATGATAGGTAGCCCATCGATGTCTTAATAATCTAAAACAATAGAAAAAAATTTATTTTCATTTGTTAATAAAAGATTTTTTAAAAATAATTATTTCCTGATCAGAATTTTTCAAAAAGAATATTTAGGATTAAAACAATCTTTTTATTGATGATCCAAAAGTTTTAAACGTCCAAATGAACGAAATTTATTTATTTCTTGTTCAAATAAAATTTTCATTTGCGTCACTATAAAAAAAAATTAATTTTTATTGCAATCAGAAATTTATGAAAATATTTGCAATAAAGAATGGATTTATTTTGACGTTCAAAACTTGTGGATCATTTTTATTGGTTTAATTCTAAAACTATGTAAAGTTTGAATCATTTTTGAAGATAGTTTTCTTAATTTTTGAAATATTTTTATTTTTTGAAAAAAATTTCTGTGATAATATTTGAGAAAATATACTTACACTTCCAAAGAGTATTAAATTAAGAACACAAAATTTCCCTGCTGTTATTTCTACTGGCTTTTGTCCCATTTGTATGAGTAGAAGAAGAGATTTTACTTTTTTGGTTGGTAAATGGTACCATTCACAGTCATAAGCTGTTCCTGCAAATGCATTACTCTAAAAGAAATTTTTTTTTAAATTATTCTTGATAAGAAATTAAATTTTTATATTTGCCAAAAACGATGCATTTCAACATTTTTCAACAAACTTTTAATCTAAAGTTTTTTATTTAGCACAAATGAACCGATGTTTACATAGTAAACTTTTAATTTAAATTAAAACCAAAGTGAATTTAAATCAAAGTTATGGTTTTTTTTTGGGTAAATAAAATGTGTTTATTGAGGAACAGTAAAAAAATTTTTTTCTGCTACTAAGGAAACATTATGTAGAATTTATTTACTTCTATCTGCAGTTGTTCACCCAAATAACAATAAACATAAAAGTTTCCCATCATGTACATCAAGAATACTATTATAAAAAGAACGTCTAGTAATATCGAACTAGATTTTTTGTCCGTTACATACTAAAAGTGTATAAACAATATTTAAAATTAGTAATTAAATTAAATTTACTTCATAAAATAGACTTTAGAGAAATAAGAAGAAAAAAATAAAAAGAAACCTACCATCACAAGAAGAAGTCCCTGCAAACAGAATTGGACACTACAAGCTATTAATTGTATCAAAAACATGAAATTGAAAGTGTCTTCTAATATTTTTATGCAACTAAAATATTTTCCATTATTTTTTGTTACACAAAATTCCAAGAATATTATTCACGAGAATATTTAGTAAAAATTTATATATAATTTAATAATGATATTATAATATAAAATATAATTTAATTTATAGATAATTTAAGAACCTATTTAGATCGTCGTGCACATCAACGATGTGGCCAAATTTTTTATCAAAATCATAATCAATTTTCGTTGCATTAAAATTTTTGACAAGATTTAAAAGTTTTAGGCGTAAAATAAAATATTCCCCTGAAAGATGTAATACAATTTGACTGAATAATCCATCGGTACCAGTGTAGGCAACCATTCCTAAATATGTGCCGAAAAATTCCATAATTGACGTCATTTCAAACACTGGAGAATAGTTCCAAGTGAAAGGATAATATGCTTCAACATAGAGCGTGTAATTTTTAAAATGCTCGGAATTATTCCAATTTCCTAAATTTTCAACAATCCACTGAACTAATCGCGCAATCATTGTTGCATGTCCCAACGATATGCATAAGAATGCAATTTTTTTACCCTTATCACCCTTTTTTATCATGATCTCTATTTCATCTTTATTCTCCATCTTTAGCCAATCGTCAACCATGTGATCGTAAAGTATCGTTATTTCTAATAACAAAAAAATAATTAATTAATTAAAGAAATTTTTTTAAATTAAATTAATTAATTTTGGAAAAATAGACCTCGGATTGACTTTAGAAGGCAAAAAAAAGGCGTTTAGCCTTTGTTTGCGTCCTAAAGTCAATCCGAGGTCAGATTTTAGGACGCAAAAAAAAGGTTCCAAAATGTACTTTTTTTAAAAATAAAAAATTTCTAAGAGAAAAATTCTTTAATTTTTTCCAAAAAATAATACACACTTTCTTTATTATAAAATAGAACTGTCATTTTCGTCAGGGCGATTATATATGGCAACTCTGCAGTGGAGATAATTTGACTCATTAGATCAAGATTGCCCCAGACGTGAATTAATTGAATGCTTTGCGGAATGAGAACACTAAATATAATAGTTGTGATGCTGATAAAAAATAATATTTTTGATAATATTTTATTTGTATCTGCAGGTGACTTTTGTCAGAACTTCCACTGCTATAAACAAAATTTTTAATTGAAACAAAATAAACAAACTTTCAAAATTTTTTAATCATTTTTTTTCACTCTTCATGTAGAGTAAAATTTTTTTTTTTAATTTTTCCGGAAAAAATAAATTTTACTTTTCTGTAAATTTGAATTAAAGTTCAAAGTTAGTAACTAATTTAACTTTCAGAGGACCGAGGTGGCCACTGTATAATAAAAATAAAAAATAAAATAAATAAATAATAAAATACAAAAATAAAATTGTCTCTTTCTTATTATACACAACACTTTTACCGTTCATTGTCATCCCTTTATTTTCAAATTAATATTATCTGATATATTCCGCTCGACTTATTTTCATTGTCTGCAATATGTAACATAGAGGACCATTTTTTGGAAGTAAACTATGAATTAATAAATATATCAATAAAAAAAAGGAGAAATAAAAAGATTCAGTAAAATTGAAAAGTCGACATTGGTTATCGAGATAGAATCATTCTTGGACAAAGAATTATTGAAGAAATCAATTTCTATGGAAAAGAAAAAGAATACAAAAGAGTACATTTATATAAGACTTTACATTTCACCAAGTTTGTTAATGACTTTGTCAGGAAGGGTTGTTTTCAAAGTTGATGAATTCGTTATAAGTTGAATGTGAGTCTGCGCACATGATACTTTGAAAATAAATTTTTGCAGTGATTACTTTGTCTTCTTTTAGATTTCAAACTTGCAACTTGTAGTTTTTCTTCATTTTATAGAGAGAGATTTGCTCTTGGATAGATAATTTTTTTTTTGCCGCGAATCTCATTCTTGTTTGTCAAGAGAAAAAATTAATTCTACTCACTAAAAATAATTTTTAAAAAAGCTAAAAAAGAAACGAAAAAAAAGACTAAAAAAACTAAAAAAAACTTCAAAAAGAAAAAAAAAGGAATTGAATTAAAATTAATTGAAAAAATAGAATCAAGCAAATGTTGATGAAAAAAAATACTCGAAAGAATTTATTCAAGAAATTTTAAGATAAATAAATATTTCTTGTACAAGTCCTTTTTTGTAAACTTATACATTTTTCATGTGAATTTTAATCTGAAATGATTTCCAATATTTGTGAGTAATTATTTTTTAATAAAAAAAAATTTTCTGACAGGAAGTTATTAATTCCAGGAAGTTTATTATTAAATGGTAAAATATTATAAATAAGAGAATATTAATTTCATTGAGTGTTTGTATTATTTTTATTTAGAAATTTTCACTTAATTATTCGTCTTTTAATCACTGCTTTATGTCTCTAAATGAACGAAATTTGTTAATTTCTTATTCAAATTCAAAGTCTATTGCAATAATATTGCGTCAAATATTTAAAAAAAATTAATTGTAAAAATTCAAAATGTTTAATTTTGTTTTTTAAAAAAGTCGCAATTATTGCAATAATATTGCGTCAAATATTAAAAAAAAATATAGAGTTAATGATAAATTGATGTTTGATATACTCGCGTTCAATTTAAGTTTAATATTTATCGGAATTATTCATTGATTTCTAATTAGACCTGAAAAATATTAAATTGCTTCTGAGTAATCAAGAAATTAGACTTTCTTATTATAAATAAAAAATAAAGAAAATTCCTCTTTCAGACTTCAAAACATAGAAATTTGAGGATTGTATATTAAATTAATTTTAAACACGTGAGGAATTTTGTCAAACGATAAGAAAATATCTTTCCTAATTTTTTTCTTTTTTGTAGAAAAAATCATCAATGATTTAAAGGATCTAAAAATCTTCTTGAATTGTATCGAGAAAGATTATTATCTCCAGCAACACTAAAAATTAAAACAACACTAAAAAAATTGAAATGAACTTTGCTAAAAAAAAGGAAAGGAAATCTTTATTAAGAATACTAACAAATTACAAAAATCAGGTAAATTATATGTATTAATTTTTATTAAGTTGTAAATATATATTTTTTTCCTTTTTTATCAGTTTAATATTTTTATTAATAGCATATTATTATTAATTATTTAAATCGCACAAGATTTTTTTTCATTCCGTCTCTTTATTCTAAAGTGCAATTAATTCACGTAGGTACAAAAGCATTAATAATAAAAATATTTTCACCTTCAACAATTTATTTGCAACTTTTTCTAATACAAGAACATTTTCATTTACTACATTTTAATAAATTCACGAGTTTTGTTTATTTTTGTGCCGATCTCATTGTTAAGAGAAATGATAAATATCCCATTGAAGTTTTTATAATCTAAAAATCATATTATAATCAATAATTGTTATATATTTGTTTAACAAATAAAAGACGAAATGATCAACTATTATTAAATGATTAATTATTACAAAATGATTAATAAACTATTAGATCAGCAAAAATGGACACTAGTTGTTATCTTTGGAAATCAGAATTTATTCTGGTCAACAAAAATAGAGAAAAAAAATTTGACTTTTTATCAAAAAATAGAGAACGTGACTCTGTACGAATAGGTGGAAGCGAGAGGCCGATAAAAAGAGACAGAGAGTACCTAACGTCCCCTCTTTAGAGACGCATGCGCACAGAGGTGCCAACGACTGTCACCAGAAGCAGCTGCGCTTGCGCTACTGTAAATGGATCAGCGCGCATGCGCTAAGAAACAAGGACAAAAGAGGGGACGTTAGGCACACTATCTGACTCTATCTAAAAAACTAAATGTTTTCCCGGATGCAACAATAAAAGTATAGTCTTACACTAGCGAATAAAATCAAGTTGATGATGCAAAACTTTCCTGCCGTTAAATTCACTGGTTTTCTTCCGCGTTGTATTAATAGTAGAAAATATTTAATTTTTTTAGGTGGTAAAGTATACCAGTTGCATATGTAGGCAGCTTCGGCGAATGCAAAACTCTGAAAACAAATTGTTCTATTATTAAAAAACAAATTATGTAAAGATATTTTTTTTGCCACTTAAATCTTTGAATGAATTTTTCTTTGACGCAGATTCGAAAATTTGGTTCAAATAAAAGTTTTATTTGTAACGAATAAGAATAAAATTTTTATTTGAAACAAATAGTTTAGTTGTTTCTAAGACGAATTCTTTTATTTAACTCAAGTACCTAAATTATATTTTGTTTAAATAAAATTTTCCTCTCTGTGTAAAAACGAAAAAGTACATAGGTAATTTCTAATATTGAACCTACAGTAAATAAAATTTGGAAAATATATTTTCATATCGTAATTCATAATAATAATTTAATTATTTTTCGTTATTTATTATTAAACGTAATATAATTTTAAATTATTTAGTAAAAAAAATTAACCTCACTTCAGATTGTAATTTTTCGGCAAGGTAACAATAGACATAAAAATTTGCAGTCATATATGTAAGAAATACTAATATAAATAGTATATCAAATAGAATTGGACTCGATTGTTGAACTGTTATACACTGAAAATAATTAAGAATAATTATTGTTTTTATAAAAATAAATAAATATTCTATCTACTTGAATTATGAATCCTAATGTTCTGACCGTTCAAATGAACGAAATTTATTTATTTCCTCTTCAAAAATAATTTTGAGGTCATTATCAAAAAAGTTGATTTTCAAAATTTTTAAACGTTGAATTTAAGTTTTAAATTTCCATTAGAATTAGTAGTTTATGAAAATATTTTTTGTATGAAATATTTCATTGATTTGAACGTTTAAAACTTGTGGACCATATTTATTTAGATAAATTATAATATTTAATAATATATTTATAATTTATGTAAATAACTAAAAGATTTTGCTTACCAAAACAAGTAAGTAGCATTGAATACAAAATTGAATACTGCATGCAAGAAGTTGTACCAGACACATAAAAGAAAATGTATCTTCAACAATATCAATACAACTAGATCGGAAAACAAAAATTATATTAAAAACGTATACGAAAAATATAAATTGAATTTAGAAATAACGAAAAATTGAATGTTAATGCGAAAAATAGTCTTGAGAACCTATTAATGCGGTCATGAAATTTAACAATGTAACTGAAACTTTCGTCGATATCAGTCAGAGAAGTATTTTCGTCAATTTCATTAACAATATGAAAAAGTTTATGACGTAAAATATGATATTGTCCCGAGAGATGAAAGGCAATTTCACTAAATAGACCATCGGTTCCAGAATATGCGAGAGCAGCCATAAAAGTTCCAATGTATTCCATAAAACATGTAATTTCATAGACTGGAGTGTAATTCCATTCGTATGGATAATATGCATCAATATACAGAGTAAAATTTTTTAAGTGATCTGAACTGGACCAGTTACTTAGATTTTCAAATATTATTTGCACTAAACGTGCCACTGGCGTAGCTTGTCCCAAAAAAATGCATAGAAGAGATATTTTTTTGCCAAATTGAGCTGAAATATTCATTATATCCAATTCTTCGTCACTTTTCTTACGTTTCCAATCGTCCAAAAATTTGTCGAAAAGAACTGACAGATCTGATAGCACGAGAGAAATTAATTACTCAAAACATAAGAGATGACTTAAAAATTTAGATAAATTAAAATTTGAAAACATTTCAAGTTATCTAAATGAATTAATGTAACTAAAAATTAAAATCGAGTAATAAAAAATATATATCTATTAAATGTGTATTCAAAGTTATAATAGAGTCTCGTTGCTGCAAAATTTCAAGAACGTGGAATTATACACAAGAAGTAATATTTCAAATTAATTTATTATTTCATAAAAATCATTGCTAAAATTCAATTATTTTAAATACAATTTTAATTAAATGATTCGAAATAATTGAATTGTTCTATTTTCATAAAATGATTCAAGAAAATTCAATTATTTACAAAATTTTAATAAAATCTTTCGCAAGAATTCAATTATTTTTATAAATACATAATAAAATTTTGCACCGAATTTTAATTATTAAAAAAAAACTAAAATATAATTCAACGCGAAAATTTAATTAATATCATGAATAAAATTGTTTATAAGAATTAAATTATTTTAAATAGAAAAATTCATTGCAAAAATCCAATTCATTTTAATTCAATTTTAATTAAAGTATTCGATTAAATTTTTATGAAATGATTAAAAAAAATTCAATTCTTTCCAAAAATTTTTATAAAATCCTTCACGATAATTTAATTATTTTCAATATCTACAATTTTAATAAAATTTCTCAAAAGAATTCAATTATTTAAAAAAAAAATTAACAAAATTCAACGCAAAAATTTAATAATTATCATAAAGAATAACATTTTTGACAAGAATTTAATCTTTTGAAATACAATTTTTAAAAAAGATTTTTAAGAAAAATCAAGTATATAAAATATTTTACTAAAATTGTTTGAAAGAAATTATAATTATTTTCTAAAATTTTCATAACATTTGTTTAGATTAATTAAATTATTTTCATAAGTTACAAAATTCATCATTAAAATTCAATTATTTATACATAAAACAATTTTAATTAAATTTTTTGAAATAATTGAACTATTCTATTAAAATTTAATGAAATAATAAAAAAAATTCAATTATTAACAACAATTTTAATAAAATCCTTTACAAGAATTCAATTATTTTTTTATGGAATTTAAAAAAATGTCTATACTCTTATCGTATTTATTTATTATTAATTTTTTGTTCTAATTTTTCAATAATACTTAAATTTTGTTTTGTTCCTAAAGTTGCGAAAATTCACACGAACGACAATATTTTTATTACTTTTGTTAATTAGTATTTTTTTAAAATAAAATTATTTTCTATTTTAAACAAATTAGTAACTTTTAAACTTTTAATCTGAAAAATTTTGAAAAAATTATAAAATATTGTTGAAATATTAATTAAAATAATCTTCAAGTTTGAATAAATTTAATTCATTTTTTTCCCTTTTGAAAAAATTCTTTAAAGGCGCTTTAAAATCAGTCTCCTAATGTGGTTAAAAATAAATAAAGAGAAAAAAAATGTTCTTCATTTGAACGTTCAAAACTTTAGGAACATAAATTATTGAATTGAATTTAAAAAAAAAATTAAATAGAATACATACGTTTTTTATTAAAAAAAAGAATAATCATCTTTGATAACGCAACTAAAAAGGGTAATTCTGCAGTACAGAGGACATTGCTCATAAGGTCAATATCACCCCAAACTTGAGTTAATCGAAAGCCTTGTGGAATAACGAGACTAAAAGTTAGAAATAAAAACGAAAAAATACATTGAAAATTTATCACTTGTTTATATTTGCAAGTTGGAACAGGCCAGAAGCCAATCAGTACTAGACTGTTATAGGAATATTTTGTAAAATAGTCTAGAGCTGGGAAAAAAGAAACACAAAATTAAATAATAGAAATCGTTTAATATTTTTTAATATAATATTTTTTTATTTAATATCGAAGACTTAAAAAGTAAAATTTATCAGACATACCCTGTTTACCGTCCATTTTTATATTTTTTCGACACGTATTTCCCAAAAATTGATTAAATTTTGTCAATAAATAAATTAGTCATATAAATAAAGATCAATTTCGCAGTCAAAATATTAGAATTTTTTTTGTTTGCCTCGAGATTTATCTATTTAATTCTTTAATTTTTACTATTTAATTTATTTGAGTTTTTCGAATAAATACCGTACAAGTAATATTTTCTTTATTTTTATTACGCATCTAATAATTTATCGATTTATTTATTATTTTCATTTTATTTTATTTTATTTACTATTTATTATTTTTTTAGGAAATTAATTTTTTAATGATTCTTTTTTAATTACTTTTATTGAATTTAACTTTTTATAAATCCCTGTGTGGTAAATCCCTACTAAATGTAAAATGATAAAGTTTATAATGATACTTTATGAAATAATAGTTTGAAGACGAGAAATTAAGTTCGTTCTACAAAGTTGTTATTCAACTGCAGAGATATACAAAAATTATTTAATATTTCATAATCCTTCTACAAAGTTAGGCGTCATTTGGAAAGTTGGAAAAAAAACCTGCGCAATGATGTGTTTTTTCCCTCAATGAGCTTCACTCGTTTCTTTGTCGTCAGTAAATTCAGATCAAAATTAACAGTCTTATTTCAGAGAATACATTCAATGAAACATCAACAATTTTGTGTTGTAGACAAAAAAATAAATTTAATCTCAATAAATATGGAATAAGAATTAATTTATATTAATGAGTATAAAATATATTATTTATTGTACAATGCCTTTCGGCTTTGAACGAGAAGAGAATAAAATAACAATTTATATAAATAAGTATAAAATAAAAATTAATATAAATTTTTTGTATAAATATTTGGAATATTTTTTATTGTTATTTTAATTTCCAAACGTAAAAAAATTAATTTTTGATTTGTTATTTATACTTACTAGCAATGTTTATTATAATTTAAAAAATAAATTGTCCCCGTTTATAAATAAATATACAAAATTAAAAAAATATTTTTTTTCGCTTAACTATCAAATAAATAAAAGTATTTTTCTGTTATTAAAAGTACTAATTAGAGTCGATAGTAAATTTATCGTCCCTTTGTGAAAAATTAAAAAAATTAAAAAAAGTTTGCAAATTTATTTTTAAGTATTAAATAATATTTAATACAAGTTCAAATAATATTTAAAGAAAAACATTTGAAGATATAGTTTGTACCAAATTTATATTTTTTTGCGTTTTCAGTTATTATTATTGCAGTTTACAAGGTTTGAAATTAATAATGTGAAGGAAAAAATATTTTTTCATTTTTCAATAAATTTTCGTTTTAAAATATTTTGCTTACTTTCTTTTGAGAAATAATTTAAATAAAAGAAATTTGGAAATTGAAAATTTTATTGTTTTCCTCGTGAAAAATATTTTTTTTCTTTCAATCGTTGAATGTAAACTTTGTGAACTTTACTGACTTTTCCAATTTTAAGAGATTATTTCTGTCAATCGTTTACATTTTCTCTCGTTATTGTTAATAACATTGAAAAATATCCAGCAGAAGTTTTTAGAATCTGAAAAAAAAAATTTGCATTTAATTAAAATTCCTTTTTATTTTCCAATTACTAGCGAAATAATAATAATAATTATAAATATTCACTTAAAATTATTATTATTATTAACAATTTCAGAGTTTAATGTTTAATTTTATGACAAATTACTAACGTAAAATGAAAAATATTGTAAATTAACATTTATTTAGTTAAAAATAAATTTTTTTAATACAGAAGGAAAAACAGAATTTTTTCAAATAAAATTTAAAATAAGAGAGAGTAAAAAAAACTAAATATAAAAAAAGTGTTTTTTAATAATTTATTTAAATTTTATTACATATTTATTAAAATTTTTATTATTTATTTTATTATTTAGATAAATTAATTGTTTGTACCTTATTAAAGAGTTGTAACGAAAGAGTAAAAAAATTCCCCGCAGTCAAAGTGCTTGGTATTCCACTTCTTTGCATTAATAATAATAAATTCTTTGCCTCCTTTGATGGTAAATTGTACCATTGGCTTTTGTAGGCTGCAAATACTATTGCTGCGCTCTTTAAATTAATTAATTTTTCTCTTTAAATTTTAAAATAATTTACAACCAAAAATTTACATTGATTTTTTTATTCAACAGTGGACATGAAGAGAAAAACATTTTTGAAGGAATCACCTGTCGTCGAAGTTGCTCCGCCAAATAGCAATATATAAACAAAAATGTCAACAGGTATGTGAGAAAAAAAATCATCACAATCATTGAATCAAATGGTAATTTTTTTTCATTCCCTCTTGTCATCTGTGGAAATTATTTTTAAAAAATTTGTTTTTTCAAATGACAGTAAAATAATAATTTTTATTATTAAATGAATAAAAATGAAAATCGAAGTCTTTAAAATTTACTAATTATAAATTAACGAAGTTGAAGTCCACATCGTTCATCAACGAAAAAAATTTATTTAACTCATTCAAGTATTATTTTTAATTCCATATTTAATTGTAAAATAATTATTATCAAAATAGAAACATCAATTTTTTTTTCTAAATATTTTTGTCAATATTTTTGCGTCACTTTTAATTAATTTACTAAGTGAACAATTTTTTTTCGTTGATCAACGTTATGGACTTCAACTTGGTGGAAACTAATGAAAAAATGGTCTTAAAGAAGAGAAACTTTATTTAATGCTATTTTTTCAAACTTAATAAAAACATGTTTTTTAAAATTAAAAAATTAATTCAAACGTACAATGACCAATTGAAAACCCTGAAGGCAGAACTGAATGCTGCAGGCTAAAATTTCTGCTAAAAATAACATATTAAATGAATCCTCGATTATTTCAACACACCTTTAATGAAAAATAATAATTTTAATTGTTATAAATTCGAAAAATAGCCCCACGTCGAAAAATCCTATGGAAGTACCCCCTGGAAATTCCATGGAACTTTGAATGGAATTTTGAATATTTTTGAAAATAATTACATTTTTCGAAAAATTTATTTAAAATTGTATTAAAAATAATTTAAATCATTTGAGAAATTTTATTATTAATGAAATAATTGAATTTATGTGAAAAATGCTTTTACTTGTAAAAATAATTGAATTCTTGGGAAGGATTTTATTAAAATTTTTGTAAATAGTTTAATTTTTTTTTTTTGAAAAATTTGATGGCAATTTAAATATTATAAAACATGAAGATATCAATAACTCCGAGTCTTCGACTCGGAGTGATCGATATCTTCATGTTTTATACTAATATTCCTATAACACAGGGCCACAAAATTTTTTTAAAGAAAGTATTGACCGGACTATGTTTATTATATGTTTTTTGGATCACTGAATTCGAATCCGAACTCAGTTTTCCGCCATCACGTCAAGTTTCTTCACAAATTAATAAAATTCGAAAAAAACTGACTGTAAACAAGATTTAAATAAAAATAAACAGAAGATTCTATTAAAAAACAACTTTAAAACACTGTAAAAATATTATATAATGTTAAACAATCAAAGAAACTCGTAAAGACTCAAAATTTAAGATGGCGGATCCAATATGGCGTCGATTTTTTTAAAATTCACCCAATTCGCCTGAATCTTGTTACTCGGGGGTTTTTGGGGTTGCTAAATACGAATTTCACCTTAGTTTTCAAAAATTCAAAAACTAATAAATTTTTAAATAATTTGTTAGCCATATTGGATACGCCATTTTGGATTTTTTAAAACTAAGGTGAAATTCGTATTCAGCGACCCCATAAACCCCCAGGTAACAAATTTCGAATAAATCTAATAAATTTTTTAAAAATACGTCAGCCATATTTGATCCGCCATTTTGAATTTTGAAAAACTAAGGTGAAATTCGAATTCAGCGACCCAAAAAACATATAAAAAACATGGTCCGGTCAATACTTTCTTTAAAAAAAATTTTGTGGTCCTGTGTAATTTGTTGAACATCATAAAGGTTTGAATTTGAAATTTTTTAAGAATCCTAATTCCTATGGAATAATAATAATAATTGAATATTTATTTAAAAAAGAATTTATTGGTGTTTTGGAATAATTTTACAATTAAAAAAATTCGTAATTAAATGTAATAGAACAGTTTTTTTGAGTATTTAATGATTTTTAGAGAGAAGGAGAATATTCTTTAGGGTGAGGGAAAAATTGAAAATTTTGTCCTGTAATGTGGGAAAAGTCAAGTAAATTCTGTAAGTTTTTTATTTTAATATTATTTTAATGTTTGTATTATGATTAGAATCTAATGATTAGCTTTGTTGCAATTCTTTTGCAAAATGCGTATTTCATTCGCAAGTTTTGCAAAGAAAAATTACAACAAAGCTTATTATTAGACTCTAATCATAATAAAAGTGCTAAAATAATATTATATTACAATTTTAAAATATATAAAACTTGCAGAATTTCCATGGAATCTTCACGGAAATTCCATGGAATTTTTCGACGTGGTAGTTGACATAAAAATATTTTAAATGAAATTTTTTTCAGCAAATACATTTTTTTTTTTTTTTTTTTTGAAAGAAGTATATTTCTGAAATAAATAAATATTGTAATAAATACCTGTTTAGAAATTGATGTCTCTTAATAAGTCGGCTGTAAATTTTTTGAAAATCATTTACTTTATTTTCTTGTGCTAATTTATTAATAGTTGATGTTATTCGAATTCGTAAAATATTGAATTGTCCACAAAGATGCATAACAAATACGGCGAAGAGACTGTGAACGCCAGAATAAGTAAGAGTTGCGAGAAATGTTGATGAACATTGTGTAAGCCATGTTAGTTCGAATTTGGGACTACTATTCGTATCATACGGAAAATAGGAGACTAAATATAATCTATAGGTTAAATTTCCCGGTGATTGAAATCGATTATTTATCGTAATTAAAAGCTCCGATAGTGTATGACTGACGAATGTTGCTTGCGACAAGAATGTACAAATTAGCGATATTTTTCTAGCCGATTTCGCCATTTTTAGCATTATCAATTTTTCCTCTTCTACTTCGGTGGTATTCCAATCTTCCTTCATTACCATCACCAGGGTCGTCAAGTCTTTTTTTATCAAAATTGCAAAAAAATTATTTGAACGAAAATTTTTTTACTTATTTTTCAAATTACTTTATCTTATCAAATTTTTTTTCTTTCAAAATTTAATTGTACACCAAGAGAAAAATTTTATGAAAGTAACTCAAATATATATATATATATATATATATATCTCATTGTTAAAGTTGGAATTGTAATTAAAATTTAACATTATAATTGAAAATTAAAGTTATATTTACAAAATTGATTTTAAAATTTGTGCATAAATATTCATATTTACCTTCGTGCTTTCTAATAAAAACTGCAATCATTAGAAGAACGACGAGAACGGGAAGATTAATTTTACAAAGAACTTCGGAAAATAATTCGATATCGTTGAAAATCATAAAAAGTTTTATTGTTTGAGAGAGATTTATAAAAAGGCTTACAAGAATGAAAATTCCAATTGATCGATATTTGTGAAAATGTTTCTTGTGATAATTTGCATCCGGCCAGATGCCAACAATTCGTAAACTAAATTTACAAATTTGCATCGAATGCAACTCGGCTGGAAATTTTAATTATTAAATTAACAATTTTATTGTCCGCTTTGTCTTAATTTCACTCTGACATATATAATCTCCACTTTTGGTTTTTATCTATTTTTTCACACCCAGAAAAAAATTTTATTTAAAACACTAAATAAAAAAGTTTATTTGATTCAAATAATCGATTATTTGAACCAAATAAACTTTTACTTAAACTAAATGAAATTTATTTGAAACAAATAAAAAGTTGTCTCTGAGTGAAATATATATTTTTTCTGTGTGTTGAAACTTACGAATTTAACATATTAAAGATGTCACAAATGTTAACAATCAAATGCACTAATTGAACTAAAACTTTTTGTTAAAATTTAAAATAAAAAAATTGAAAATTTAGAAAATAGAAAATTTTTTAAATTAAAAAACGTTTGAAAGTTTTAAAAAATAGTATAGTATAGTAATTAGAAAAATAATATTTTTAGTTTTCCAAAAATAAATATTTTTATTGTAACCATTAATAAAGAGGCAGACAGTACTTGAGAAAAGAGTTGAGAATAGAATTTTTCCTCTTATTTTCTCAAGGTTATTTTTTCGAAGACTGAATTTTTTTAGATACCTTTTTTACTATCCATTGGAAGTACACGCGATGCAACGTTTTTTAACCATATAATTGACCCGCCTAAATGTAATCCTATCGATAGACATTTTTTTTCTCACTACGCATGCTCTTTGGGCAAAACTCACGTTGTCTGAGATTTATGCTCAGCATTTATTAGCAATCGCTTCAATAAGAATGATACTTTGATATAAACTACAAAGTACATTGAATTTTCTTTTATGATAAATTCTTTTAATTACACTTGATCCTAATTTTACGATAAGAAAAATCTCATAACGAAGAGGAATGTTTATTTTTGTAAATAATTATTTACAATAATTGAAATCATCTATTTTTCTGTAAATTTCCATGTGATTCATAAGTAAGCAATTTGATTATTAATAGTATTTAATTTAATTTAATTATTAATAGTATTAACAAATGTACAACTGTTTATTTCACTTAAAATTACAAACGATTCTTGAAAAAACATATCTCCTCGTTTACCGAACTGGAATTATTTTTAAAAAACAATGTCTGACTAAAATTGACTTATACTACTGATGTACTTCAAACTAAAAATTAATTTTTCTACTAATTTAAAAATTTTACCTCTTAAATATCTTCGGTATGAACTGAAAATTTACTTCTGCTACTGATTCAGAATTTAAGACATTTTCAAACAATTATTCCCACTTTTAATTCCAATTCTAATTAATGATTGTAATTTTTGTTGCCAGTAGAAAAAGGAAGTTTTTGCCAGCCAACGAGTCAAAATTCGTTGGCTGGCGAAAATTTACTTTTACTACTGGTCATAAAAATTACAATCATTACAAAAAAAATTCGAGGAGAATTAAAAGTTACACTGACGACTTTCACTGAAGATGGAGATAGAAAAATAAAACTTTAGAAACTTTAATATGCACCTGCTGTCTGTCTATTGCACACTTGTACTACTACTAACATTTTTTCACAATCACATTATTTCGAAAACTTTTTTTGTTCTTTAATAATTTCGAAGTGCTTGATTCCAAAATTTTGACATTTTTGGAAAATTTCTAGTCTATCTGAAATTTATTAATGGGGAAAATTAATTTATTATTAATTATTAATCGAAAAATTTATAGTCTAGGAAAACAAACTCTTACTAGTTTTATCAAAATTACATGAATAAAATTTTTTTTTTTTATTTTTAGAATAAGTAATTACAAGATTACGTATACATAATATACACACTGAATTAAATTTAGAAGAATAGAATTTTTTTTCAATTCAATACAATTGTTTCAAGAAAAAAAATTGAGAAATATTTAATTGAATTTTAATTTAATTTCAATGTCGCATTTCCTTGCTGCGGTGAAGAATTTTTATTTTTTACATAGTTTGTTTTCTTTTCATAGCCAAAAGTACTGATAAATATCCTAAAGAATTTTTCATAATCTAAAAGAATCGTGAAAGTAAATCAAATTTATTAGACAGTAAAATATCACATTTAATATATAGGAAAATTTATTTTATTTGTTGACTACTGTTATTATTTTTTTGTTATTTAACAAATCTATTTTTTTTACTATTTTATTTACTTATTTATTTATTGTAATTCATTCATTCATTCATTTCACCTTATTAAAAACTTCCAATGAGAGAGAACAAAATTTTCCCGCTGAAATAATTCCTGGTTTTTTTGCGCGTTCCATCAAAAATAAAATATTTCTCGCTTCACTTGATTTTAAATTAAACCATTTGCATTTATAAGCTGAATTCACTACTTCCGTAGTCTTAAATTTAAACAATCTTATCATTTGTTTTTGATTATTATTTTGTAAAGTTTTAGTTTTTATTTTTTAATTTCATTCTAATTTTATAACTTTTATTTCCAATTTTCGCCTTTTTACGAGTATTTTTCTCTTGTTGATTACAAAATTTATAAATAATTATAAAAAAATATTTATAAATTTTTAAGTATTAGTTAAAAAAAAAATTTTTTTAAATTTTTTTTACTTAAAATGAGACATTTTATATTTTGTGAAAATATTTTTTTATTTATGTATAAATATTAAAAAAAAATGTTATTAACTGAGAATAAAGTTACTGTGTCATTAAAACTGATCTTACTTGAAATCTTAATTGCTCGGCAAGATGACAGTATATGTAAAAATGTCCCATCATATAAATCAAATATATTACCATAAAAGAAAGGTTTATGATTGGTTGATCATTTGTTGAGTTATTGACAATCTGTAATTGTAAGTTAAAAATAGTAAATAAAAATTTGTAATATTTTTTACTCTACAAAAATATTAACTTTTTTTTAGGTTTATATTACAACATTAACTAGCTTTTTCGTTTCTTTTAAATTATAAAATTTTATACTAACATAAATATACTAAGTAAATTAAATAAATAATAGAATAAATACTAAATAAATTTATTTTCCTGACTTACACTAATTAATTGATATCCTTGTAGACAAAACTGAATCGAACAAGCGAGCATTTGAGTAAGAAACATTATATTAAATGAATCTTCTATTATTTCGATGTATCTTTGAATATCAAATTTAATTATTGAATGAAAATGTTTCTTTGTTTTCATATTGAACTAGTCAAAAGAATTTTATAGAATTTTGACAAGAATAATTTTTCATAAAATCTAATGAATTCTTAAAATAATAAATAAATAATAATAAAATAATAAATATAAATTATCCCTAATTCTTATTAGTGGATAAAATTAAAGAATAAATAAATTTAGAATTGCTAAGAAAATAGGACCAGAATGAAAAATAGTATAAATAAATAAAATAACAAATAATAATAATATAATAAATATAATTAAAATAGTATATATACCTGTACAAACTTGCGTGCCTTTGAATAATACTTTTAAAATTTTCCCTAAAATTGAAAATATTTACAGAATTGATAATTTTTAATTGTAGAGTTGCAAATTGACCTGAAATATGCATGACAAGTACAGCGAAGAAAGAATCTATTCCTGTGTATGCACATGTGGCCAGAAATAATGTCAACCATTGTGAACACCACGTTAATTCAAAATTTGGAGTAATTACAGTATCATAAGGAAAATATGAAACGATAAACAATCGAGTTTCATTGTAATTGCCATTTACTTTTTGACTGATATTGAAAAATAGTTCCTGTATTAATTTAACATGAAAAGTCCCTTGTGACAATAGGAGGCAAATAATTGATATTTTTTGTGACGTTCGTGCCATTTTCATCATTATTTCCTCTTCTTTCTTTGTTCTCGATTTCTTCCAGTCTTGTACTATTACCGCAACTAGAGGTTTTAATGCTAAAACGAAAATTAGAAAATAAAAAACATTTTAATGTTGAACTTAAAATTCAACGAAATTTAATTATTTCTTCTTTAAAAATTTATAATAATGATAATAAAATACTTATTTTAATAAAACCGAACGCGACAAACAAAAATAGATTTTAAGAAATTTTTTACTTGATTTAAGATTAACTTTTAATTAACTAAAGTCTAACACAAATTTTAATTACTTATTTATTATGTCAAATTGTTAATAAAAATTACTTTTTACTCCTAATATTTAAAAATAAATTTTAAATATATCAAAAATTCTTCTAAGCATAATTTACTCTCCACCTGCGAACGCCAAGGTCGAACGCTAGGGGGCAGTTAAATTGATAAAATCAGATTCCTCGCCATCTAGTGGCGACCTTGGCGTTCTCAAGTGAAGAAATTAAATACCAGAAAATTTAAATATTAAACAAATGAATTTTAAACATTTTTACTTTATTTTTTTCATTATTTTATTATTTCTTTTTATTTATTTCCTTACCTATTGTATTTATATAAATTATAATTTTATTTTATATTTCTGTGATTGTAATTTTTAAAAATATAATTGAAGAGAAGGAAAATTTCGTTCATTTATATGTTGAAAATTTTTTTTAGGAAATTATAAAGAACGTACTTTCTTTATTTCGCCAAAGTACAAAAATCATCATTAAGGCGGCAGCAACAGAAATATTAACAGTGCAAAGAATTTCAATCATTTCATCCAAATTGTTGCGTACCATTAATAATTTTACCGTTTGAGGAATATTTACAAATAGAAAAATGAGAATAATAATAAAAATTGCATGGCAATTGGTGAATAAATTTTCAGGCTTACATGGATCTGGCCATATTCCAAGTAGTTGAAGATTTATTTTACTTATTTTTATTACACGATCGAAAGCTGTTAATTAGATATTTGATTATTAATTTAAAAAATAATATTCTGAAATGAAAACAAAAATAGTAAAATTAATAAAAATTATTCCTAATTTTATTTTTCACTGAAAATTTTGGTAAAAAAAACCTTCAATTTTAATTTTTTTTAATTACTTTAATTAATTTAACACTAATTCTC